AACATCAGTATAAGAGGAATCAGCCACAACATGTTGAATTTCTTGGTGAAGATGACAAAGTTTGTAAAGTTTGAGCATGTTAACAAACTGATTTTGCATAATTCCTTGCATTTTGGGGTTAGGGTGTTCCAAAGGGATATCCCAATATAGCCCACTTTTGACAACATCTTTTCTCAAGTCAAATGATTCGGCAAGCTCATGGTCACCACCGACAAGTTCAGCAACATCATGAGATCTAGCCACCTGTATGCAAGACGGAACAAGTTGCGACAGCACAGGAGTTTTGGCACGTACAACACGGATCTTTTTTGACAACATGATGCTCCACCAATGTGAATTTTTCCGAACAGAAGCAAGAATGCCAAACACTTGCCGCTTAACCTTTGACAACACGCGCGGGCAACGTGTCGGCACTTTTATCACGAAGGTTTTGCAGCTGGTGAGGGGTGAAGTGTTCAAGAAACGTTCAAGTTTCGACTGAGCGCGCGCAGCATTTTCATGGTCAAATTCGCCAGCAAAAACCCAAGCGCCAGTCGCAATTGCACGGGCTCTCCCCGTGTCCCAAAGTTGTTGGTAATTAAGGCGCGCATGCTTTTGGGAAAGGAAAAGAGCAAGCCAAGCAACACGTTCAACTGCATACATCATGCGCATCACGTCAGAACGCGCACGTCCAAAAACTGAGAGCTGCCAAGCACACAAGTCGTTAAAGGAAGAAACCCAATCAGGAACGCCAGGCAAACCTTTGCAGATGTCCGACCTGCGCTTTCCACGCCTTTCCAAAAGTTCATGGGAAACATTCAAATCAGATTCTTGTTTGAGGTTGGTCATGCTTCTGAAACGAGGCCAGGGCCTAAATCTGTGTGGTTTGAAAGAACTGCTACGGACCCTGTCTTGAATAGAAGCCTGCATGTGATGGATGAGAAACTTTTCGTATGACAGAATATTGCCTTCTTCATGCCATGCAGCAACCACCATGAATAATTCTTCAGGACGTGCGTTTCTCCAGGCACGGTAGCGCTTTGCGACATGCGCCAAATTCTCATTTTTGAAAGTTGCTAAAACGTGTTCTTTAAAGCGCGCCACGACGCCTAAGTGATCAGCAGTATTTCTGCGCACGTTGGCTTTTCCAATGTAAAAAACTTTTTGTTGACTAGCCCAAACAAAATATTGGGCTGAGTTTTCCGGGACGTCACGCCAAACCATGCAAAAAACATGTTTCAAATATTTTCGCCAGCCTTGCAAATTGAAATTTTTCTCAAGACAGGCACTCTGAACTTCTCGACTGAAAGCCCGCAGCATGACTCTCAAGGGGCTTCTTTTCCAAGCAAAACCCCACATTTCGTGCAAGCCAAGAACATGTGACAAAGTGCAGGCAAGCTTCCACAAACAAGACGACAACTTGACTCTTCTCATAGGAACATGAACAAGCAATTCAAGGAGCACACCATACATGTGTTGCATGATTCTCAAATTCGTTTTTCTGTCGTCATACGGAAAACCTTTCAGAGCCCAACCGCAACAAGCCTTGGCAACTTGCTCACAACGAGCTTCGAAGTCAAGATGACGCACATCAAGTTTAAGATATATGTTGAAGTGAGTGACAACTTCATGCGGCGGAGTGTTCTTCAGGCAGTCCACAAGCGACTCTCGAGTGCAGAACTCAGGTTGTGTAGATTCTTTCAAGCTCACAACACATTTTGGTGGCAAAATTTGTTGCAACAACACAAGCCAGAACATGCCGACAGCAATCATGGAGAATACAATTTCGCAAAAGTGAATCAATGAAGGTAAGGTGTATGTTTATTTGTCCGCTGGTGCCTCAGAAACGAATCAAGGTACAACCAGCGTATACGTATGTTAGACACGTGTATGCACTCACCTCTGGAAAGAATGTCGGGCACCGCTTGTCAGCTCACAGCACAGCAAAACACCAAAAAACTTTCCTTTTTTCTCCCGTAGAGAACTGAGTGAGGTGAGAGGCTCCCAGATCTTGTGAATCTGGTGTGGCGGTTAAGCGCCCACTCCCTGCTGAGCCTCTGTACTGCTAGCTTTCAGCATTAAGAACAGCACAGTGCACCAAGAGAACAGTGGCACTGTCATACAAATTTTGGCACATGTTGTAAAGAGTAGCGACAAAAGCGTCGCAAGGCAAAAAACTGCACAGGTGCAGCATACCGCAAAAGCATATAACAATTGAAGCGGTCTTTGAGTGTCAATTCGCACAATGATTTCAAAATTGTCTGTGGGCGGGAGGAATGATTGGAACAAAGTCAATCCAAGAGGATTGAACACTGAGAGAGGAGAGAGGAGAGAGGAAGCCAATCCAAACGAGAGAATTCATTGTGGTTTATGCATCAATTGAGAGATATCTAAGAGTCTACCTTCCAACCGCCGCCACGAACAAGGAGCGCCTCCTCCCAGTCCACTCTCGACCCCGCCATGGGCCGCTCTCCGGCCGCAGTGCGCCCCAGCGGCAAAGCCAACTTCTCCGCAATGTTGTGAAGCGCTTCGCCGTGCCGCACCAGAAAGACCTGACGACCAGGAGTCACAAGACGGGGTGGTGTTGTCCCCTTACGTGAGCGGATCATGGGCACCCCTAACCTCCATGGATAGCACCCTGTGCCCTAGAACGACCTGGCTGACCTGTAAAATCCTGAGTTGGCTCGGTGAAGCCTATTCATTCAATGGTGGTTGGAAGTCTAGGGACATAAAGCAGGAGTGGAATAGGAGTGGATAGGTGGTGGGTCTTGGACGGCGTCTTGACCTGCCCAAAAGCGGTGGGGCTTTACGGGATGCTTTTACAGTCTGGGATCTCAGAGCGGAGCAGACCTGCCCCAAACCCAGCGTCGACACAGTGTCACTAGGGTGGGGAACCCCCCACCAAGGTTAAGAGAAACCAAGAACGGACATGTCTTTCTCTTCCCCCACGAAAAACCATTCACAACCTCCAATCGGATCAGATCACCCTCATCATCCCTCATCCCCCCCATCCTCTCCGTGGCGGCCGCAGGGCTGTCTTTCGGACGGGCGTGTCGGGGAGGCCGGGCAGGAAGGATCCGCAGGAGGGCGGAGTCTCGGGAACCTCCAGCTCGATCGTCGAGAAGCCTCGGAGCGTGGTCTGTCGGGCCGTGCCGCCGAGCGCGCGGGAAGTCGGGCCGCCGCCCGAGTGCGCTCGGTGATGCGGACAGTGAGACGAGAAGGATCGGCATTGAGCCGCATTCCATCGATCGCAGGGCGGAATGGCGGCAGGCGCCAGAATCAGAAAAAGGAGAACCTTCTCGAGACATAAGCTGCTACTAAAGCTACTCTCATCATCCAGACTCTAGGCCCAGTGACCTTTCTTGGGGTTTTGCCGGCCTGCCCACCCATAAAACATGATTCTTCGGATTCCAAAGAAGCCTGTCACATTCTACAGGAACTCTCAGAGAGTAAGCCGAAGCCAAGATAAGCCAAGTGATTCTTCAACTCCAAAGCCATGCCAGTTCACCCTGCGGCTCTTCTCAGCATCCCGCCCACTCAGTCCGCCCCACGCGGTGATACGTACCCGTCCATCGTTTTTCGACCCAGCTGCTGGTGGAGACTTGGCACTTCTGGTCGCGCCAAGTGACCTTCATATCTTTACATGGCCGGGCCTCTGTCCCTCTTGAGCTTCGAAAGAAACTGCGCGTGGTCCAAGCGACCTGGAAAGGACCTCCAATGAAACTGATCACGTGATGTTTTGGAAAGTTGGGGCGGCATATCTTCCATGAGGAGCACCAAAACCTAGTGAGGACGTGAACAACAAGTTGTCATATCAGAATGGGTGCCCATGTGGGCTCATCGTTTCATTCCCTGCATGGCCACAATCCAAAGACTGCTTTGACATAGCTATGGCTAGTGACAATTTGGTTAAGAATGGATAAGACCAGCCTCCAGGCTCCCCCATGGAAGACTATTTTCCTCTACCAACCAGGGGTTGTCAGGTTCCATGTTAGTCTTCCAGGGTGTATATAGAGAACCTCTATAGATTAAAAAACCAGATTGAAAGAGTCGTCGTGCCCAAACAAACAAAAAAGAGCAAACTCACGAAGGGGGAAGAAAAAACTAATTGAAAAACTATTTGCAGGAGCAAGTTGGCAAGTGTTCATGAAGATCCTGTCGCAGGTTCAGTCCACCAGGGGCCGCCCATCACGCACCGGACTGCCGCAGCCCACGGCCGCTGGGGCGCCGGGACTGCGGCAGGAGTCTGTGCCACAGCGACTGGGACCTGGTGCTGTTGCAGCTGTGATCCCAGGGGCGGGTTGCAGACCAGATCCACCGCATGTCGACTACAGCTGACTCCCAAGAACCATCCTCACCAATAACATCCAATAACAAATTTCAGCATCCTTGAGCTCTCTCTCCACTCTCCCACCCCAGTCCGCACCAGCTCCATCTCCGTCTTCCAGAACAATGGTGCCCCTTCTCGGCCGCGGGGCGCGAAGCTTGAGCCGCTGGGCAGCAAGCGGCACCAGGAATGACTTGCGAGGGTGGGGCAGGGATTGTTCATGATTCATGATGAGCGTTCATCAGGAATCGGACCTTTTCGGGCAGTCCTAAGTCTTGGATCGTATCTGGGACTCGCAAGCTGTAGGTGTTTCTTGGATGTATATATATAGTCATTGGAGGTTCTCAGCGATACATCCCGAAACCCTACAGCGAGATCGCGGAGATCCTCCCACTGTAGAGAAAACCAACTAGAACCCGAAGCTCCGGAAACCAAACACAGATTCTCTGTTTCTTGCCGGCAGTCGGCACCCTGTGGTTTGGCCTTTCATGCACGCCGCTCGTTTGGAGGATGGCATCATCGGCAACCAAGGGCAAAGGAACAGGGCCACCAAATCCACCAGTGGAAGAAGTCTTCTTTCCAACATGTTCATCCTACAGAGGTTAAGTGACCTCACAGGACTCTACAAGGGTACCTATAGGATCCTATAGGATAGTCTATAGGGTTCTTCAACCTCTGCTGGATTCGATTTCGCCTGATCACATTCACAGAATGTCACAGACACTTTTTCACCGCCACGACTACCTTTCGCTGGAGACATCTTAAAGAACTGGCCAGGTGTGTGCAAAGGCTTCTTCTCTCACATTGGATCATTGGATCAAGGTTAGTGAGAGGCTCTGCTTCTTCACTGCGCTCCAAGCTTTTGCACCTCGTCTTCCGGACAGGGCCTAGGGCCTCGGCGACGGTCGCGGCGCAAAGTTCACGCCACCCCGTGCCGCGTCCACCGGCGGCAAGGACCGCACCACCGGCACGCGCTGCGGCAGCAGGCCGCTGCCCGGGCGGCTCGGCAGCGACGGCAACGACTGGTCACTGCCCGCCTCGCGGGGCACTGCCGGTGCCGTTCCCGGCGCCGACGCGGGCGACGTGGCCGCCGTGGCGGGCGCCGTGGCAGGCGCCGTGGCCGGCGCCGAGCGCGTGGCCACGGTGGCATCGGCGTAGCCCGGCGGCAGCGCCGCGGGAGGTGGGACGGGAGGAGCTTCGTTGGGGACCACCACGGTCTCCAACATGCTGAGCACCTGGGCGTCCCAAGCGGTTGAAGGAGGTCCCGCTCCGCTGCAGCTCACTCTCACCGTCCCCAGGTGTCCGGGCCACGGCGAGGAAGCAAAGCAGGGCGAGAAGGGCCTGGGAAGGCCGCTTTGGACAGGGGCTGCTCCCTCTACCAAAACATGTCTTAGCCTCCTACTACTACTGCTGCTGCTGCTACTGCTGCTACTACTGCTACTGCTACTGCTACTGCTCCTGCTGCTGCTACTACTGCGACGACGACGACGACGACGACGACGACGACGACTACTACTACTACTACCATTATGACTCTTAATATATGACTATGACTATGATAGATTAGATATTATTAAATCGATCTCAGAAAAGATCAGAAAAGGATAGACAATGCAAGTTGAACCCAGAGTTCACATCTGGATCTCCATCCTCTTGATCTGTGCCTTGGCTAGATTCTTGATTCTTGATTGATAAGCCCCCCATATATGTTTTACAATCCCAATGGGGGGGGCCTTCTACTATCACTTTCTGCTAACCTGCTACCCTCGCCGATCACTCATGAGTCTTCCACTCATCCCGGGAGGTATGACTGACTGTGACTCCGAAAAAATCGATTGATCTGCCAGCCCAGCTGCCCCACCCGAGCGCCAAAACCGCCCGACCCCAGCCACCGGACGCGGCCAACGGAGCCGTGGACGCCCGGAATCCGGCCGCTTTCTGGGAAGTCGCGCGTCACCTCCTGGGTTGATGGTGATGCTGAGCACTTCACCGGAACCTCAGCGTCGAAAGGTGGGGAGGCGGAGCGGATCGGATGGAAGGGATGGATCGGATCGCATGCTAAACGTATACGACACACATAGGACTGACCTGGGTGGTAGTAGTTTTGAGTGGTGACTGGCATCTAAAGGGCTGATGGGGGGGGCTGTTCGTTGCAAGGTTTGAACCATGAAATCGAGGACACATGGGGTCATCGAACTGCTTCCTTCCAATCCGTGGACCCAAATACTATCAATTACTCAACACGTACTATACATCGGTGTTCCCCTGTATATATATATATATATACATCTCTAATATGTTTAATCGATCGATCGATTAGTTTGGTGTATATGTTTACCCTAGGACCTAGGATTCCACCATGAATTTCATGGTCCATGGCTCTTGCCGAACCACAATTGTTTCATTTGTACAACATAGACCAGGTCAACCATTTAAAAACTAGCTTTTTACAAACAGTTTAGATTTGATATATCATCTGAAAAGCCCCCTCGCAACGCCTCGAAACGACTTCTGCTTCTTGAGCTTCTACTTCAGCCCCGCCTGGGCGCGCTTCCGCCGAACCGCTTCCGTCGCCGCTTCTCGGGAGCGCCGAGCAGCCCCCAGCGATGCGCGTGGCACTCGCCACCTCATGTCCCTCCGCTGCACGGGCACAGAAGCCCAACCTGGAGCGTGGAGAACCCCACGGCGTGGAGACCGGCGTGGAACGCGGCGAAGCCGAAGCCAGGCGGTGGAGAGGAGATGAAGAAGGAGCCGGAGTTGGTATGTTTGCTCTTCAGTATCGGCGGGTCTATCCTTCCCAGACACTCCATGTATGCCATATATGCCTACATTAGGGTGGTTTGGGGGGTCAATATTCCATACATGGAGTGTCTGGGCTTCTGAAAGCTTCTACAAACTCATTTTCCAAAGTGACTTTGGTTGGCAGAGTGACGCAACCGGCGACCCTATATATAGCGAAAAACCAACGACACCTGTCCGAAGGATGTGTTGCTTCCATACGGACAGGTCGCACACCCCTGACCGCGCGGTGTGGATCACATGGCACCAAAGGAAGGCCACTTTCCTCTACAAACAGGTGGTGAACTCCACCTCCATGTTAGTGAGTGGGTTGGAATGTAGAGTTCTTGGAGATAGGGTGGGTGCTTTGAAGAGTCAGATGCCTGTTCCATGTCAAAGCTTCCGGACACTTACAGTAGGGCACCGGAACATGTTCACTTTTGACTGGTCGGTTCCTTTGGGGAACCATTCAACCTAGCAGGGTGATGCTACATCTACACATCTACAGCATGGGGAAAATCTCTCATGAACCATCATGAATCCACCCATCACAATGGAGCCTTCCCCGACTTGAGCTGCTAAGCTACTTGGGGCCTCTACCTCAGTCCCAAAAGCCTCCATGCGAACCATCACTATCACCAAGCGGTTCTCACCAGTAACGCCCCCATCCTCCAGGGCCATCCATCTGGACGACGGTGACGAACCACCCAACACCGATCGGCGTTTACAACGGGCCATTCTTTTTCGGGGTGGCGGCTGTCTTATTATGCCCCCACGGCTTGTGGTTCCATCGCATCGGGCCAACTGGTCGAGGGCCCCCCCACGCAGCAGGCATGTGATGCAAGGTGAGGGCAAGCTGTTCCGACCTTCCAAGGGTCGCTGGAAGCTTCCGTTTGGGGCCCCCCCGTTTGGTGTGATGTGCTTGGCTAATATTTTTTACATGAATACAAAATACAAAGGTGAAATCCCAAAGGTGAGCTTAGAATCATCTTTACCTAGTCGGGACTCTAACATAAAGACCAATTCACCCATGGATGTTTCTCACAAACACTGAGATGATGCTCTCGCATTTGCCTCCCCAGTCTACCACGCTTCACCAGCGGGTGGGGAAGGTCAGTGAAATCCAGTGAAGACTTGGCATGAAATGTGCGTCGATCCTTTCAGGGGACATGCTGGGACAAGCCCCACCGGCATGTGGAAGCAGCTTCAATTGAAAAACACGCCAAGAAAAGCCCCAGCTGTCACCACCTCTCACGAGGTTTTCAGCTCTGCTCGTGCCCAATACTTGATGAAGCTGCTTTTAATGAAGCCGATCAAGAAGAGGGGGGGCATCGTTGGGGGGGCCACTCCTACCAAATGCCCTAAGGCACATGTCCAAGAACAAAGACAAAGACCAACGCTCGTCTATAGTCTATAGCTCAAAGACGAGGGCATCCGGGCCCCTAGGTCAGTGGCTTGGAGTTGAGAGGAAGGCCTCACGGGCCCCCCGCTTGACATACATCAGGGGTGCAGCTGAGTTCCTCGCCTTCCGTGGAAGTGCCAGTTTCGCGTTCCGGTCGAGGGCAGTTCGAGGACGTCTCACGGTCTACCCCCCCCGCCCGGTCGAAAGAGCGGCAAGCCCATGTCAGAGGCTTCGAAATGACGAGTCTGATGAAGACCACCCAAGGGCTTTTTGATGTTTTGATTCATTTTGGGTGGTCCTAACCCCTTAGATCCCCTTAGCAGTGGCACAGTCCGAACCAAAAGGCACACTGTGGTTCCAAGTGGCATGGGAAAAGGACGGAAAAGAACATGGTCACCAAGTGCCCTTTCGGAGGGACCCATTGAACATGGCAATGGGTCCTCGTCGCAAACTCCACGAAGGCCCGAGTCATCTGAGGTGCCAAGCCCCTCATGGTGATGGTAGACCAACCTGAGTTCGTCCCGGACCCGGAGCTTCGGAGAAGATGGAGAAGATGCGGCGAGACACGTCTGGTTTCGAGCCCCACGACTTCTCCCATGCTGACGTCCCAAACCCGGCGCCGACGTCCCAACGGCCCTGGCGCCCTGGCCCAGGAGGGTCATATCATATCCTCAACACTCCATGGGACTGCCATATACGCCGCCCCAGAAAGACCCCTCTGGCACCACCGCAATCGATCGGCAGTGCTATGACAGCCCCAGACAGGTCGTGTCTGGGATAATCATGGCCCAAATCGGTCCTTCTATGCGAAAGCTGGTCCCCAAGCAGGATGCGCAGCGTGGGATGAGCCTTGTTGTGGTTTCTGGATTGGGTGTAAGGTTCATGATTCTTGTCTCTTATCAGGTGCATGGAGGCTACTGGGCTAGATCCAATGTTGGCTTGAAGAATCTTGAAGCCCAACCCCTCCCCGCAAAAGAAAAAGAACAAGACATAAATTCATACTCCCTAGGGCTCCAAGTACCTCCTCAGAAGGTATTGGGACCCTCTAAACTCACTCGAGTCCCACCAAACCTCAGATTCGGTATGACTGGAGCCCTAGGGATTCATAGCATCAAAAACACGTCCAGACATCGGTGCTGCTTTGGTGCGAGCCTCACCACCCCAAACCCAGCCTCACCACCCCCCCAGACTCGTAGAAGCACCGTCCAGTGGCATCTTCTGCCCAAATGCGCGTGTCCACGCGCCGTATCGCGCCGTTTTCCCTCACAGAAAACACAGCAAAGAAGTAGAAAACACGGCCATTTCCAGTCGTGCCAGATGCTTTGGGCAGCCGAAGCCAACAGCACTAGAAGACCAAGTCTTTTTAAGACATCTAAACGTTTCTTCTTGCTTCCGGACCTTGGCAATGTCAAATTGGTCAAGGCCATGCAATTCAGAAACACATCCGGCCCAAGCCAAATGACAGACTTGGGGATGGTCATGCTGATCAAGGAAGTGCACTCTGCAAAAGCACAACCTCCAATTGCCGTCACAGAGTTGGGAATTGTTACTCTGACCAACGAACTGCAGCCACAAAAGGTGCCTTTTTCAATCACAGTCACCGAATCGGGAATTGTGAGGCTGGTCAATGAGCTGCAGTCCGCAAAGGCACCCTCTCCAATGGTCGTCACCGACGTGGGAATCGTCACGCTGGTCAACGAGCTGCACTTGGCAAAGGCACTCTCTCCAATCGCGGTCACGGAGCTGGGTATGATCGCATCGGTCAACGAGCTGCAACCTGAAAAGGTGCTACCTTCAATCAAGGACACTGAATTGGGAATTGTAATGCTCGTCAACAAGCAACACTGCGAAAAGGCACCATCTCCAATGGTGGCCACAGAAGAAGGAATGGTCACCCTGGTCAACGAACTGCAATTCAAAAACGCAAAGCTCTCAATCACAGTCACAGAGTTAGGAATTGTGACAGTGGTCAACGAACTGCAATCCGAAAAGGTACATCTCTTGATTGCAGTCACTGAGTTGGGAATTGTCACTCTGACCAACGAACTGCAGCCAGAAAATGTACTTCTTTCAATCACAGTCACCGAATCGGGAATCGTTATGCTGACCAATGAGCTGCAGCTCAAAAAGGCACAGAACCCTATCATAGTCACGGAATCGGGAATGGCCATGCTGGTCAAGGAGCTGCAACCTGAAAACGCACAACCTCCAATGATGATCACAGAGTCTGGAATTGTTACTCTGACCAACGAACTGCAACCCGAGAAGGTACCTTTTTCAATCACAGTCACCGAATCGGGAATTGTGAGGCTGGTCAATGAGCTGCAGTCCGCAAAGGCACCCTCTCCAATGGTCGTCACCGACGTGGGAATCGTCACGCTGGTCAAGGAGCTGCACTTGGCAAAGGCACTCTCTCCAATCGCAGTCACGGTACTGGCACAGATGACCCGCGCTATAGACCTGCACTCGACGAAGGCGTAGTCCAACACTGCCCGATCCCCTGAGGGGATTTTCACATTGAACAAGGCGTTGCCCTCCAAGCACGAGCCGCTTGAGACTCTCCGGTCTAAGAATGAGAGCCTCTCGACACATAACGTGGACAGGCGATACGAGCATTCCACCACCTCCACTTGCTCTGTGACAACCATTTGGACCATCGCGTCAGCATCAAGCCCAGCTTGCCAGAGAGTCTCAGAGTCATCCAGCAACTTCTTCTCACCGACCAGAAGGTCCACCAAAGTCACTCGCGTGGTCACCTCCCCCCTTGGAGGTGAACTTCTTCTGCAGCTCCTCCTTGAACTCCCCCACCGTCATGCGAGGCCAAGCTATAACAGATATCATTTCGCCACCTGATGCATCATGCAACCAGTATGCAATGCTGGGAAACAAGGGCAGGCATCACATTCACTTCTGTGGGCATGTTTCCCATGCTTCGCATGTTTGCCTCACCATCTTCACCTTGCATCTTTAGACTTTTCGGGGGGGCATAGGCCATGGATGGCGATGGCGTTTCAAGCAGAATTCCCCCTCAGTAACACATGAATCCACCTCCACCCCATTCGACCTCCACCCGTTCGGGTGAAAGGAGGGCCCCGCCGAGGTCCACCCTTCCACCCGGGATGTAGACATCTTTGGTGGTTTTTTGGGGGTGGTGAATTTCTACGTCATGTTTACTTACGTGAATCGTTCGGTATCGTTTGGGCATGCTGCCCAGCCGCTCATCTGGCGCACAGCAATGCTCATCGACATGACCGCTGGATCGATCGAGGTCGATCCGTTACTGTCTTGAAAGGAAAAGACCATGTTTTGGCTCCAATACAGGGGTCAATCAGGTTGTAGTTTAAATTGATGCTTGGATGGACTTGACTCGGATTGAAAGTGTTTACAGAAGCTCGTTGGAACTATATGTTCACAGCTCTTGTCACTCCATTGCTCGAAGCCAAACGTCCAAAGCCAAACACCAACTCCAGTCTTGCAACCCCGAGCCTGGCACAAAGCTAAACAGAAATAAGCTGCCTCTTGCCTCCTTCGTCAGAGTTTAAGCGGCTAAGCGTTCCAAGCACATGGTTCCATTGATAGACTGTATCAGTTGTGGGCGAATCCACAAAACACAAAGCTTTCTGGCAGGGCTGGGGGCTGAGAACAAACTCAGTGATAGAATGGGTCCAAAATGTTCGCAAAAACCACCACTCAACTACTCACTGACATAATCATGGAAGTGGAAAATGCATGAATGTCCTTTGGAAGGTAAATTGTCCTCTACCAGCAGGTGGTGAACTGGTGAACTCCACTTCTAAAGAGCTGCTGTCAGGGAGTGTGCTAAGCTCACCGCCTTGGCTCCCCCGGTTCGATGTTTAAGCTCCCACGCCACTTGTCGTTCGACCGCACCAGGGAGCCATACCTGGGCCGGATCGCCCATCGCCGATGGCGCGAAGCAGCCGTTGGGTTGGACCGAAGCTTGGTCGATCGACCCAGGTCCACCCAGACCTAGGATCCCCGAAAGCCTTCGGATGGTGATGTTGGGCCATACACTTTGTAACTAAGAGAATGTTTACATGACAAGGCTGGGGCCACACACCCGTTTTAAATCTCTATACAACATTACAAAACGACCTTTTCCCCAATGTGCTCATCTCCAGACGTCAGAAATAAACTTGCATACAAAATAGACTCGCCGACTCAGGGCTAAGGGAAGAGATTCATGATTTTGCAGAAGAATTGTCAGGCAGACTGAGTATGTTGTTTTGCGCTTGCTGTGGTTGGATAAAAGTCAACCCGAAGCAGGTTCATACAAAATACAACATCAACGGATCCAATTTCTTCATGTTTCTTCCGGAATCAAAATCACAGGACTACTATGCCACAGGAGAAGCAAGCCAGTGGCAAATCTGATCACTTGTGTATAAAGTCACACACCACCAAAAAATGATATTGCGTCTTCAAAACGGAAGGAGTCCTGCTACCGGAAGTCGGTATCAATGAGAGGCTGTGCGAGTGTAGGATGAGTTTGTAAAAAGGCGTTTTTTTGTTGGGTAGTATATATCCTGCTTCAGCCATTTTGTAGAGACTTCATGTCTAGAACCACTCGTTTGCGTATGAATTACCATATATTACCGTATAATCTTGTGATGTCGTTTATGGAGAAATGACCAACCATCAAAGGAAAATGATGGAGAAACAATCTTGTTCTACATAGTCCAGGATCCCTCAGATAAAGGGAGCATATACATACATATATATACAGTATATATAAATCACTCAAGTTACGGTATTACGTTTCCACAACAGGAAAGCATACCGCTCCACCCAATGCAAGTCTCGAAGACCCTATATGAGTCGTAACAAGAACAAACATCGCCATGACACCTCTACAAGTAGTGCCTGTTAGCATGGTTTGGCCACAAAATGACCCACCCATATCCACCCATTGTTTAGCAACAACATGCCACAACCCTATAGAATAGGCCCACCATACAAATGCCAGGAACACTCCTTCTCTATAGGGCAAGCTTTCAACAGCGATCCGGTTCTTAAAATGGCTGTTGAAGGCTTGAGCCAGGTTGAAGCCATTGATGTATTTGGATGTATTTGGGCGTTTGGACGCCTGTCCACCCACCACGCCGAACAGCGGTGGTGGTCAGCCCACCCTCACCTGTCTTCCGCGTGGAGAACCCACGGGGCCCGCACTTGAGATTCTTGGGTCCAAAGATCTCGGCCTTCTGCTCCTTGGCCTCGGTAGGAGCAAGGACGCTACTAGGGGCTCCTGGCATTACTACTAGTAGCATTCTTACTACTACAAACACGAAGCTACTAGGGGCTCCTGTTGGCCTTACTACTAGGAGCAAGGACACTCCTAGGTCACTAGGTAGCTTGCTTTTTGTAAAAGCAAGAGGGAGGCGTCCTCACGCCGTCCGCCGGTGGATCGAAGCTGGAGGAAGCGAAAACCCAAGAAGGTCTCCCTCCAAGGCACGGCGGTTCCCCACAGCACGGGGAGGTTCATGTCCGGCGGTTCGCAGCTGGGGCGTCCAGCTGGGCCGCCGGGATCCCGACTCGTGCGATCTGACCGGCCAAGAATCACCAGCCACCAGTGGGTTCCACATCCCTAGTGACTGGACCCTCGTGCAGTGTCTGGTAATTCCTTCGGGCTGAGTAGGGGAGCCACCTGAGAGATCCCAAATCCATCCTCATGGGACCAACTATGATCAACATCCTCGCACGAGCCGAACCCGCAAAATTGGTAGCCCAAACCATCCCTAAATGGTTCAGGTCAGCCAGCCTGAGGGCCATGTTGCACCACCCTGAAGCTGCTCAACCCGCGCTCCGGCGACGCGGGACGCGGTGGCGTGCACCGGGGGGGCCCGGACGCCCACCGTCAAGAGGCCAATGCCTCGGATTCCGCGGGGGTTCCGAGCACGTCATCCATGGGTTGGGACGGGAATGTCCCAAACATGCTGCCATACTTGAATAGAGATGAATAGAGTGATCTGGAATAGTATTGGTCTAGTTTCCGCTGAGAATGTGGACATCAGATGAAGCCCATGTTCAGAAGTCCTCGTCAAATTGTTGCTTCTTCGGATCTTTTGTTGGACCAGGTAGGCAACCAGTGAGGCCAAACTAATGCATCCTCTGCCTACCTCTCTCTCTCTCTCTCTGCAGAGTCTAGCTTGTCGCACAGCTTGGCCCAAGCACAGCTGGCAACACCCTGACCGGTGCCCAAGCAATGCTACCCGATGCTCACCTTCCGTCTGCTTCAGTCCATCCAAGTCCATCTTGGCCCCTCTGGGGCCCGGGGCTGGCATGCGGGTGCCGGGACAAGGCCGCGGTGGTGGTCAGCCTCAGAGATGTCTTTTCAGATGCGTTTGGGAAATCGTTGTCCCAACCGGGGCATTGGATGGGGGGGGGGTTCAAAGTGATAATCCTTGACATTGATCCTGTTGTTCGCAAAGCGAATTTCAGTAACTACCGGAACGGAGACGGATAGTGGCTTGGGAAGAAAGCCAGAGGATCTCATCTCGTGCATGGTCCATTGAATGGGTCTCATGTCATGTTTCTTACGGAAAAATCATGTGCGCAAAAATAATTGTTGTCATCTGTTCATGAATGCCTGCACGGGACTTTTGGCCAGTTTTCATTCAGATCTGTTCTCATCCCAGCTGACTAGATGTTTTGACGATCAGACGTTTGCCGCACGTGCCTTCTTGTGGAATCAACGACCATTTCATGGTGAGCAATGCACTCTGGACAAACCCCTGCTGACCAGCTTCATTGGTAGATTCTCCCGTCTGGACATGCAGCTTGGGCACAAAAATATGTACACATATATTTGCATTATACACCTCATCGTTGTTTTTTGTTAGCTATTCGCATGGCTGATTTCTGAGTATGATGTCTTCTCTCTTTGCCGGGTGCAAGGCTGAAGTAAATGCCCCAGCTGCGCCTGACCAAGCAAAAACCGCTCTCCGAAACCATCCAAAACCGCTCTCAGCGTTTGGATCGCTGAGTGCATGAACATGCCATCGACTTGTTGACTGGCAGCATGCGGCTACCCTGGTGACGAGGGGAGGGATAATTCCTGAGTTCCTTTCAAAACCCAAGAAAGGACCCATGTGCAAATTGCATCAAATTGCAGCTTCTTCAAATCTGACCTTTTCATACCTTTTTCTGTACGTCCTGAAGCCTTCAACTTTGACGGACAAAAATGGTTGGGATGGTCACGGATGGTTCCCTTCTTCTACAGTACATCTCCCACCAAAAAACGACTGCCCCGCTCGCCCGGCTTCCGTTTGCACCATTGGCACCCGGTGCCCAGGATCTCGTCTCTCCCGTCCTGTGCAGGTGGCCCTGTCTGGGGTGTTTTCTGACCTCGGCGCAGGCGCTCATTCCGAGCAGCGAGCAGCTCGGCGGAGCACTGCCGGGCGAAAACCCAAGGCGAGGAAGTGGGACGGGAAGAAACAAGTACACGGCCTGGAAGAGAGCCCACATGGAACCTTGGTATTCGGAACATCGTCTTAAAGTCTGGTCAATGTTCAGGTTCCAGATTAATTGTCCTGGGCTGACAGCCCTGGTTTCTAAAGAATGTTGCTGGCAGTGAGGAACAGTTCGCTTCACCACTTGGGGTTGTGCCAAGCGAAGATGCACAGTACTTGGGCCCTCCCAACTGATGAACTCGTGCGCGTGACACCCCGAAAGCCACCGGGTCGGTAGAGGAAAACCATCTGACTCAGGGTGCCAAAACCACAAGGTCCATGTCAATGTTCAGAAGGTGTAGGGAAGGACCTTCAGTTCGTGACCTCCGGAGTCCGGAGTCTCTAAGTGACCTCTTTAGGGACACTGGTGTCACTGAAAAAAAAGGTCCTGCCTAGACGCTCCAAACAGCCCTTGGTCCCTCAAAACCATAGGGATTTGAGACCCCAGACCAATCGAGAGGATTCGGGTCCGACCCCTGCATAGGTTCGGGTCCGCGTCTGGGTGGTAGTCGACTCAGTGTGCCTCATAACTTCCATCCACAACTTTCCAAGTCGGGACCGGCTGCGAGCTGCGGTCTCCCAGCGGCCAGGTCCGCGGCCCGCCTCTTCCCGTTGGTGAACGGACACCCCGTGACTAGACACCGCTCTGGGAAAGTGGGTGTAGAACCAGTCCCACGGTCCGCTTTCCGCACTGGTCCCACTACCACCCTTGTTTGATCTTGTTCGAAACACATCCTCACCCCTCACTCCAGAGGCTTCCCCACAGAGTGGCAGCCAAGCGTGCAGCAGCGGATCTGAGCAAGCGGCTTCACCGGCGCTGCTGCGCGCACACACACGCGCGCGCGTACAAATTTGTTCTTCAGCTCTCTCTTCATCCAAGGAAACGGGGGCCATTGGAGGCCATCATAGGGCACACTGACCCTACTTTTGGTTGGAGGCCATCGCTCTTAGGTTGGAGGCCGTGGCTACTAGGTTGGAGGCCAATCGCTATTAGGTTGGATATCATCGCTATATGAGGAAAAATGAAAAGCAAGAAAGGTCGTCTATATACTATAGCTATAACATTATGTTTTCTTTTTCTTCTTCTTCTTCTGATTAGAGATTCCAGTCTCCCATCGCGACTTGATTCAACAAATCCCAATCCACCATCTTGTAGGGAAGGGGTAGGGGCAGTGTTCTCTTCTCAATCCTCACAAGAGTATCATCAATGGAATGCTCTGCACCTCGCAATTCCGGCTTCCTCTCAGTCTGAATCTGAACTTGAGGACCTTCGTGCCTCTCCATCCCCACCAAAATCCTCTGAGAAAAGCACTCGGATTCGCTTAAATCCACTTGGATTGGGAAGGCTATTCCAGCCGCCTTCACCAGTCTCCACTTCAGGATGAACAACTGGACAGTTACACCCACCTGGTCAAACACCAACTGCCCATTCCTCGCATCAATGACCCTGCTGGGAGTTTTCAGTCAAGTGCTGCCAAGCAACTTCCAGTGGGGCTCAAGATCTGTGTAGGGAAGTAGCCCGCTTGCAGCCTGGCATGAATATCTGTCTTCTTCTCAACGTCCTGTTCATGCGGGCGATCTCTACACCCCAAAACATCCATCGAAAAGTATCGACGCAACACATCCCAGAAAAGCCAGAAGCACCCTGACCTTCATGGCCATATCCCTGCCCCACCCCAAAAAAATGAGGTCGCTCAGACCAGTGCTCCCCCCAAAACCCAGAGGTAGCCCAGGGCAGCCCTTCCTCACCACCTTCAGTGCTTCGCTGGGCACTCGACCCGACTCTCCCTTGACCCTCGCTGGGATGCCACACAGCTCCAGCGACTGTACAGGGATGCGGAACCTGTGGAGCGGCGGCCGGATGGCCGTGGCCAGTTGGTTGGTCAAAGGCCAAAGAAACGGATTTTAGGTGGTTCGTCGTGACCAAAAGGCCCAAGAAATGAAGGATGGCGCCCAAATCCATCTCCGTGTCTCCCCTTTTGGTCTCGCTTGCTTGCGGACGCACCCGCTTCTGGGGGCGCTCCAGCGAACTCCCAGCGCGCGCACGCGCTGGGCCCCCCGTGCTGACAGGCACCCTGCAACAAACTGAGCGACGGGCCTCGGCCACGCCGAACAGGGCCGTCGCCGCCCGAGTCGAAAGGCAGCGGGACAGAAGAATGAGACCCGGTGGGCACGAACGCGTGGGGGGCCGAGAAGGGATGGGTAGAGGGAAACAGAGGGATGAAAAGGCGTCGGTTGGGTGTAGGTGCTGTGTAGCATGGGCCTGACTGGGTGACATCCACCGGAGAGGACGCGTTCGTTTCCTTCGCTCCCCACACGACATGGACTCACAGGCTCCATCTGTACATGACACCTCCACGTCTGGCATCAAACACCACGTCTGGCATCCCTACGTCTTGGGGTCTTCTTTCTGTCACATGCCGCCACCCAGGCGGCGTCGTTGTGCACGTGTTTCGCCATGTGTTCGTTGAAACATGACTTAAGAACTACTGATCTCGTCCTCATCGTTCTCTCTCTCTCTCTCTCTCTCTCTCTCCCTGCGACGCGAACTCACGGCAGGTTCGGCCCACGCGAAACGCGGCCCCACGGCGAAACGGACGGGAATGGATGGGGATCAACTTCGTTCCGATCCCCCATGTGTCCATCCGCCCAACTACTCCGAAGCGAACAGGTGCCCACGAACTGCCTGGGGCCTCGTGCAAATGTGTGGCACCATGGGCCGCGATGCCTCGCGCACCCCAAAGCTGGGGGGCGTCAGGGTGCGCTGCACCTGCGCAGTGTGGTTTGGTGGGCGCACGCAAGCAAAGGAAAGGATTCCAAAGGGCACTGCGTTTGCCTACCAGGACCCTCACTGCCAGGTCTTTAGTTGAGGGTTCAAAAGGGCACTAGTTCGGCGTCTCACCTTGGCGACCAATCAAAGGGGACGAACGATGAAAAAAACACCATAGAGAGGTTGCCTGGTTTTTTTGTGGCAGGAGTTGGGCTCCAACCCACCTCCCTGGCCTGCCTAAATGGACCGACGCACCGCATCGAACAGACGCAAGTAGAATGGCTCAGGCCCACCTTTGAAGGGCAAAGAAGGGAGACCTGAAAGACTAACCTTTTCGCGGAAGTCCTTAGTCCGTCACGCCCATGACTTTCGGGACTGCGTCGTCGGGCACATGGAGGTCTCCGATGCGAGCGAAAACACGTCTCTGCAGCTTCATCGCTCCGTGTCTTTCAAGGTCAGTCTTCTTATCTGCTTTTTCGTGGGAACCCAGTCAGACCCCCATCAAACTGGATAACTACACTCCCACCTCACTAACATGGAAGTGGAAAAAACACATTCTTTTGTAAAGGATGGTCTGATAGTCTTCCAATGTCTTTCATAGTCTTCCATTGGACCGTTTTCCACTCCATGTGAGTGAGTCAGAATGTACCGTTTCCGCACTTTCCATTGCCATAGTCTTCCCCGTTCCTGTCTCCATCCGTCCGGGCACGCGGCTTTTCGTCGCACCGATGGGTTCTTCGTCTTCCCAGCTCAACAGCTCTTCTTCACTTCTGAATGCCTGAAGACCCGCCTCAAGCCTGTCGAAGATGCACCCTCCCAAGACAAAAAGAGGGGAAAAATGAAATTATGATGTCTCTTTCCCTTAGGCTCTGCGAACCATCAATTCATACAGGCCAAGAACCTATACCAAAAAAAACACCACAGAGGCTGGTGAAAACCGTTGTTGCTGGCCTGTTCTACTGTGGCGACTTCGGTGACGGAATCGGCCTCCCCGGGGATCCGTGTGGGCCGTCCAAGGCCTTGATCTTCGGCCTGGCGGTGCCCGTGCTTCACCGGTGCTTCACCCGTGCTGTCGCTGGTGCCTTCTACAATTGAACGTGTTTCTATTGGGGGCAACCTAACCGAAGAAGTTGGGTCCTCAGTCATGTGTTCATCAGGAAAGTCGACGTGGCCGACTTTTTTTGCCAACTCAAAACCCTCTCCTCTCTTCATCTCTGGGCACAAAATTTTGTTCGTGTGTCAGTGTTCCCTGCTGAGGCCTTCCTTAAAAACAAGTAATTGTTTTAGTTAATTTGTTCAATACAATTTCAAAAATACATCCCACCCTGAGATTGGTTTCACATGGTTTCGCATGGCTTTACGAACGTCGACATTACTCAAGAGCTCCATCTCTTGAACCACTCAACATAACCCACCCCCACACCTGGGAGCCAGTTCCCGCGCCCGACCGGTAGTTGGCCAAGCCAGGTCCACCGGCCATGGCGCCGCGCCTCGGGACGAAAAGGAAAAAATCCAAGAACAGCGCTTGGTGGGCAACCAGAAATCATCTACAAAATAACGGCTAGGGGTATAACAATACATAGATGAACTTGGAGATGCCTGCCAGTGCCATGATGGGAAACATGACATCCAAAGGTTTAAAAGAAAAAACAACAGTAACACAAATCCAGTTGAAAGGCAGAAAATAGTATTAAGAGAAATTCATAGAAATTCTAAATTCAGATCCATCATCACAAATCAAGAACCACCGAGCCAGGTCCTCCCCCGGGAACCCTTGAGGGCGGCACGGTGCCAGGGCTTTGCTGGCTTGATGCGCCTGATGTCGATGAGACAACTGAGAGAGGGTGAGGGTGAAGCGTTGAAGAAGAAGCTCCATTACAAAAAGTGCCCCCATGAATATCTTGGATATGGCCTGGGTGAAGTGAAGGGATCTGGGTTGAAACTATATAAAGACACCCATTTGAACAAATGTTCCAATCATACCTGGACCCTCCAAAGGGGTGTCCAATGGACTACCCCACACTACCTATAAGCTTCCATTGGGCATCCCTTGGAGGGTCCTGGTATATCATTAAATTACCATCTGAAAAACCCTCTGCTCTCTACACAGTTTGGGGTTGGGTCCATCCAACTGAAAGAGTACTCGAGCAGGGTACCCCAGAGACGCTGAACTCGCAGGGTGAACTAGCAGGCGCTTCGGGACCCAACCCCATTGGTTGCACGCAGGGGCTGACCCAGACACTCCATGTATGGACTAGACCCCCCCAAGCCGCCGGCATGTATATACTATAGCAAAATATGGTCATAAGTAGATCGAGCCTTCACACGTGAACCCTCGAGCGATGGAGGTCTCGCCCTGCTTGGTCTCTCGCCTCCAGCATCACGGTCCACAACACCACCTCGGTGGCCGTGGACTCGGTGGGTCTCGGGGTCTCGGGCCCGAGCATCGGACCCGAGCGATCTGGGTGCGAAGAGAAAGGCCTTCCAAGACCGTCGTCTTAGTGGGGATCTACTTGTTCGATCGATGAACTGGGGGACCAGCACCTTCATGTCGGGGTCACCTGGCTGGAAGCCCCTACACTAGGATCAGGGACCTCCAGACAGGACACCCCTTGAAGGTCCAGGGACGTATTGATGAACTGGGCTTTTCATGGCTTTTTCATTGAGGACTTCTGTGAGGCTTGCTGATGTGCGCAAGGAACCTTGCTTGCTCATGTCAAACAAAGAACTCCCCTCACGCCGTGGGGCGGTTTCCCCTTCCCCATCGGTTTTCCGATCTTGACCCAACCAAAATGGGAAAGAGTGGGACTGTGGGGCTCCCATCTCCTGCGGCGGTTCTAAGCGTCGATGTGCACACCTCACTCACCCTCACACCTCAAAATCTCGCTGATCCAGTCCAATCCCCCACGAAGGCTCCAGCACGCAGCCGCCCCTTCAGCCCCCGTGCCGCGTCCCCTCAGCCCCCACATACACCGGTGCCGAAAAGAAACCAACCACCAACCGCCGCCTGCTAAACCAGGTTCCGGGGTGGGTGTCCCTCGCCCACCCGGGGCAGTTTGGTTCCGAGGCGCCACGAAGATCAGGGTCACGGCAAAGGAGACGCTCAGGACACAGGCGCCCGGCCTCGCCGTCACGGCGGTGGGGCGGCGGACCGTGCGTGGGGGGGGGTGGCTGCAGGTGACCGCGAGGGAGAGGTGCTGGGGTAGGAGTTCGCCTTTGACTGATGGGAACACCAAAGGATGTGAAAGGAATTTGGACTAGCATGCCTATAGTGGCCTAGTGAGTCTTCACCTGTCGTTTGGAAGGGAATTAGTTAGGGGCACGAACTCACTGACGCATCTGAACAAATGATCTTCATGAACCATTCCAGGCAGAGTTCCAAGTTCGGAGTTGACTCACTGACAGCCCTCTGTTCCATCATGCGAGGTTGCGGCTTTTCCTGCACCACCGACCTTTTTGATCCTTTTGGTGCACGCTCGGCCGGGTGCCCGCGCCACGCGATGATGTCGCGTGTGGAAGAGCGTGCAGACCCAGCGCCCACCAAGGCCTCAGCGAAGAGGCCAGCGGGCTCTGCGGTGCATCTGCCGGATCCGAGCTCCGAGAGTGGCTTCATGCCAGCGTCCAGCGTCGGGATGCAGGGCTCTGGTGCCAAATGCTCGATGACTTGGCTTCGGGGGTGGATGTTCGGCTGAAAATTCCTTGGATCAGCACACGAGGTCGTTCGGTCGAGGACGGACCTCTGCCGGTACACCGAGGAGTACGTCTCTGGACGTGTCAGAGGTCAAAGAACACCGCTTTGGAACGCGTGGTGCGCGTTCCAAAAACCCGGCGAGCGCGTCAAAACATGTGAAGGGTCTGTGCAGCACGTTGGCCCACCTCACAACAACGTCCGATACATGAAATGGGTGTTAAAGAAGGAGTAGGGAGGCCTTCCAACTGGACTTTTGCTGCCAGGCGCTTTTCCGGAGGTGCATTCAAGTCTCCCAAGAGAGGTTAAGTGACCTGAACTCGGACCCGTCACCTGGTCCTACCCAACTGGGATCATCTCTGCGTTCGGGTCATTCAACCTTTGGTCCGCACCGTCACACCCATCGGTCCGTCTGACTCTTCCATCGCTCCGCCACTGCCCCTGCCGCTCCGCCGAGCTCAGCTCCCGGCCAATGGGGAGGAGGCGTTCGCTCCCCGCCTGGCGTTCGCTCGGTGCCGACGGACGGACTCGGTGGGATCCCAGGCAGTTCCCACGAGTAGGAAGGAACCAGTAGGGGCCCTGGATTCGTAACCGGTCGAAGTGGTTTTAGTCTTTTGGAACCACTGGTGACCAGCGACATCGTGGTAACTGGATGGTTTGGGGGGAGGGGGTATGGAACCATGGGATATTTCATCATGACGAGCTTTGGTCGTTTCCAGCTGCCAGAGCTGCGCCAAGAGCTGCGCCCGGCCGATTGAGTACCACACATGGGAGAGAAAAATCAATGTCGGAAGGTTCCTCGAAGTGGCGGGGGAATGTGCTCCAAACGCGCCAGGGAGGAACCAGGAGTCTTCCATCCACCCGGAGGCGAGGCATGGAACGCTCACCGCGCCTCCCAAGGTCATCCACGACCTGAAGCCAATAGATGTCGACATGTCTTGTGGTAACTTGCCTTTCTGCCTTTCTCACATGGAACACGGGCACATCACTGCATGTCCTCTCACATCTGCACGTATCAACGTGTACACCAGTCAATCATGTGTAGAAAAAAAACCGTAATCATCTCACTTCTCAGGAATGGAGCTATCCCGGCCCTGCCCCCCAAAAACAAACGATTTCGATCGATTTCGCACTGCAAACCGATGTCGCACCGCTTCCCGACCCGACCCTCCGAAATGGTCCGACGGTTTTTTTCGGCACCTTCGCTTCGCAAGGGACCGTCTTTCGGCGGCCGGTCAGCGAGTCGGCTCGGCTCACTGAGGTGATTTCCTTCCAAGAGAGGTTAAGTGACCTTATAGGACCTTACTGGGGTACCTATGGGATAGGCTATAGGGTCCTTCAACCTCTGTTGGTTGGTGGACCCTGAAATTGGACCATGGGACGTCCCTGTGGCAGGGAATCACCTCGATTGCTAAGGAGGCATGGCCCTCCTGGTAGACTTGAGCGAACTGAAATGAAAGGACTTGGACATGCCTTGGGTGGACCATGGGACCTCCTGGACCGCCTGGACCGTGCAAGCGGGGCGGAGCTCCCACGTTGCCTTGCAGGCACCGGCTTACGGAGTAAGACCGTAAGCATCCCAAGATCCTCCACACTGCGCTCCAGGAAAGGGTGAGAAAACAACCATGGCTTGGAAGAACTGATGGATTCCCCAGGCGCAGCAGCGGAGAATTAAGATTATACTGACTAGAGCTCTGATTATATAAATACAACAACTAATTACAACAATTCACAACATATTCCAACAGTGAACTGAGTGGAAGGATGACCATTACATGGACCTCAAAAACATGGCGGAAGTACAAACGTCTACCCCGAACGAAGTACCCCGTCTCGCCGCCAGCTACCCCGTCTCTCGCTCGACAGCCTTCCAACTCTGGCCCCCCCAACATGCGTGAGCAAGGACCGCCGAGGCTCAGTATGCCTCAGACATTGAAGGCAAAAGCGCTTCGCTTCTGTAGGCGGCTTCGCTCGTGTGCGCGAACCAATTTTAGGGCGAAGACCGCGTGCTCTCGCCCGAAAAGGCTTGACAGATGTGGACCGAAAATCGAAGGCGGGCGGACCTTCACAGGGAGGGCAGGAATTAGGTTGATGCTTGCCTTGTTCCTTTACTAAGTATAACGCTTTCTTTTGGGCCAGGACCCCTATCCTCCCTATCCTCCCTGAGCACCCACTCAAACTGCTGTGGTCCCCCAAATCTCGCAAATCTCTTGCTCGAGGGAGCGGAAGTTTGGCGCATTATATACATGGGCGTGTTCTGGTTGGGGACCGGCCCGGGATCCAGGAGTTTCGATCGAATTCCCGGTGTTCATTGGTGGTTGTCGGACCATGTTCTTGGGGTCTCCGGCCAGGCTAATCGGCTAATTAATTCGGTTGATTCCTTTTGCTCTTGGCCAAGGGCCCCCCCTTCCTTTCACAGCAAATGGCAAGCACCCAACCCCTGAGAGCTGAGAGGTGTTTCAAATCATTTCGCCGATTGGGCTGACGCTCCAATGGGCCCCTTTGAAACCCGAAAAGCCGGCCCCAAATTGGCTTGCCCTGGCTGCCCTGATGAGTGGCTGGGTGGCTCCTCCGGTCCCATGACATTTCCACCTTCTCCATCAAGTCCCATCGAAGGTGCCTTGGCTACTGACCTGCCTGTGGACCGGCCAAAGGCACCGACACCCCGAGCGAATCCATCGTTGACATCCCTTAAGAGGGAGAGTTCTTGGATACAATTCCTGCAGGGCACCACCTCAACCAGGAAGAATTCCAGGCACTACCACACAACCATCGATACATCCACAGGTGCGTTGGGTGTCATACCATCCCAAAACCCCGACCCACATCGCACCCCATTCAGCGCTCCCACGAGACGCTCAAGGACGTCTGCAGCAGCGAGAACCTTCGGTCCACAGCGGCGCTGGCCGCGTTCCGCGCGCCGCGTGCTGCGGTGATGGGACCACGGACCACGTTGAACTCTGGAACCCTCAGGCGGATGAAGCATGGAATCCTCGCGAACGATGAATGATAGAACTCTTGGGATGTATCATTTGGTTCACGGACAACTCCTACCTCCATCCCCCTTCAAAAGAATGAACAAAGGACAACAACTCACTGCTCAAGTTCCCAAACTCTCCTGCAGCCCTTCTCACTTGCTCCCTCCCTGTCTCGCCAAAGGGCCCATTCGCACCCATGATCACCGATGAAAAACCGTCCGCGGTGCACCGCGGTACACTCCCGAGTCAACTCACATAGACCCTGACTGTCTGGCCGTGTTTTCCTCTACCAACCCAGTGGCGTACTCAGGGTCCATGTTAGTCTCGTCGACACCAGGATGACACCTATGTCCTGCTAGAGCCCACGCCGCCTGTTCCGATGCTTCCAATGCCCAGCTCCGCCCGTTCTCTAAGGCTTCCGATCCATCCTCGGGCTCCCAGCTCCAGCACATCGTCCTCCAACACGACCAGCTCCTGGAACCCGCGAGGACCGCCCCTGATCACAGGCAGAAGGAAGCAGAAGCAGAAAGCAGGTCGCACGCTTTCGGAAGACGTGTTTTTGAAGCGGGTAAGATGGGTAAGGGTGGTCCCAAATGAAGGCTCCAGGCGGTGGATCACTTACGCACCACAGATTTGTCTCACTTGCGCACCACAGCATTTTCGCTCACTTACGCACCACAAAATTGGATGACTTACCGACCACCGAGATCTACACTGAAAAAGACTCAACCACCCGAGGTCCGCGTCCACAGCCATGCTCACTTACGCACCACGAATCTCCTGATCACATCATCACAACTTATATCCGGGTGGGGGGGTGGGGGGATCTAATGGAATGATTGGCCCATGGCCACATCATCACATCTTACGTCCGCGTGGGGTGGGATGCGGGATCTAATGGAATGATTGGCTTGCGGCCACATCATCACATCTTACGTCCGCGTGGGGTGGGATGCGGGATCTAATGGAATGATTGGCTTGCGGCCACATCATCACATCTTACATCCGGGTGGGGTGGGGTGGGGGGGGTGGGGGTGGGTAGGGATCTAATGGAAGCTTGCGGTGCATAAGCGAGACAATTCCGCGGTGCACAAGCGACCCACCAACCAGACCAGCCAGGGTGCTGCTGATGCCGCATGCCCCAAAGCACCAGACCAGCAAAACCATTTCCCCCGTCCTCATCCACGGAATCCGCCGCACATTGGCCGAAATGCTCCTCGAGTGCACCCCAGATCCTCCCTGGCCCAATGAATTCACTGCTCATGCACGTGGGTGTTCCAAACAGGTGGCCTTAGAACTGCCGGTGGTCTTCGTTTCCACGTGGCGTTCCCAAACGCGGAAAGAAACCCTTTGGCGGCGAACGTTGAGATTCAGGGGGCGGGTGATGGTCTGCGAATAAGCAACCAATAAGGGATCCCAAAGGCCCAAAGGGCTGAGGCGTGTCGCCAGTCTGTCGCACCGCACCTCTTTCAGTGGTGCTCCAACCTGTCACCCCTCCACAGCCAAAACTGGGGCTCCCTGCAGCCGCTGTCAAAAGGAAGGGTAGGGACACCTGACCAAACTAGGGCACTTGGCTCAAGCCGCTTACCCAGTGGCCTTGCTCCTATGCACCGAACTCAGAAACCTTCCGCGAATCCCTCCAGGAGACGTCCCCGACATCCGGCGGGCACGGCGCAGACCCGGCTCGACCAGCGCGCAGACCCGGACCCGTGTCCCGGAAGTGCGGCATCGAATTGGGCACGGGCATCGGACGCAGACGCAAGGTCAGTCGTACAGTGGTTTCAGAGGCTCAATGGTCAAAGGCAGCCCGGCCCATGTCGATGGGGGATGATGGGGGTCCATATAAGCCACCACCACACGTTACGTGCGGATCGACCGAACCGTGAACCCGTCAAACCCTGGTCCGGACCACCGAACAGCCGACCGGGATACGTGTTGGGAATGACCGGACCCAGCTCCCAAGTGACCGGTCGGGAGACAACGAATGGGAGCGTTTTGGTTGGGCCCCTCTTGGTTGATTAAACGCATGGATTAATGGATTAATGGATTGTAAGAACCTCTTCAGGCCGGGCCTTATGGGGGGGTTGAAATATCTGAGAGCCCATATCTATATCTATATATATATTATATATATATGTGTGTGAACCCAAACCACCACTTGGCCCAAATGAGGGAACCAGCTAACCTCGCTGGTAGGAAGATGGACCCATTGTTTGGAAGTATCCTACTTTGTCCCTCCGCTCATGGCATTGGTGCAGAAGGTAGGCACTCACAGTGACACCCACAAACAAATACTTTTGTTCACGTTCATTTCACCCTTCCAATCTGGATCACACCTCATGTGTGAACTACATCAAAACCTATTATATAACTATATAATTACAGTATACTGTCAGAACCTCATGGAACCCACTGCAACTTACCACCGCCATCCCTCCCAACCAGCTCCATCTCCGCTCTTCGTCTCCGAAGGCGGCCGCCACGGTCGACCGGCGGTCACGCCCTCGGGCTCCCGGGCGCCGAGCAGCACTCGGCTCATCCGACCTGCGGAGCGGAGATCAGGTTCCGCCGGAGTGGAGGGGGAAGAACCTGGGAGGAAGAACCCGGGGGAGAAGCGATGTTATATGTTTGTTTCAAAGCCAAGGGCTTTGAAGAAGGTCGTCATGGAAGGGGGTTGTTTTCATGGGGAGAATCATGGGGAAGCTCTGAAACTCCCAATTCGATCTGTCTTTTTCAGGTGATCCACGTAGGCTTAGCCTGTCGTAGGTGAACTGTGGCCGGGGCCGGCTTCACGGACGACCCGGAACGGACGACGGGAACGCCCCCGGTCTTCCGTGGGAAGACGGTGACGGTGACCGGGAGAAAGGATGGAGCATCCACATCCAGGGCCTTCAGTACAAGCACGTGGCGCCATCCTTCAGATTTCCTCGTTTTGGAAGACCTGACTTGCAGACTGTGACTTGCTGGCTTTCTGGGACCAACTGCGACCTCTGCCTCGCAAGGGGAGAGTCTTTCACGCCAAAGCGTCTTTTCACCCTCCGGGCCCCCGCGCAAATGAAGTGGGGCTTCTGTATCGGAATCGCACCATCCACCCAACCTGAACATCTCCGGAAGCAGCACGTGAAGGGAGGGGGGAACCCTTGGATCTCTGGGTGGATCTGAGACCTGAAAGATCCACTTGGCTTTTCCGCTTCAGGAACTGGAGGGTTTCGGGTGCTGTTGGATCCATTGCACGAATCGTGACCTCATAATTACAAAAAAAGGTCATTCTTCTTCTTCTTCTTCTTCTTCATCAATGCTATAGTCCTGGAAGCCATTTGACCCTTGTGTTGATAGAAACATGCAATATGTTGAAACCACCCTTGGGAACTCCATTGAAGAAAGTGTTGAAAGCTTCACCGGGGCACAAAGACGTATATCTTTGACGCTCAGGCCGGCGGTCTAGGATGGTATCTTGGAAACTGCGGGGGGCGGTACCCTCTATCAACGGAAGAAGCTCTCAATCTCATTATGCCCAGCAGCCTGTCAGCAATACCAGTCGATGTCGGCAAGTTGGATATATGGCTATAACAAAAATCAGCATCTTCAACAAAAGTTGCCGCTAACCATCATCGAATAATCCACTAGAATCCAGCGAACAGTGACCACCCCCCTTCAACCATATAATGGATGTCTTGAAACATGTGGATTGCATTTCGACATCTGATGTGCTTTCTTTTTGCTGGGGCCATCCTAGCAGTTGAGGCCATCCTAGCAGTTGTTTGTGCATGGATCGATATGTGGGAATCTGCACCTGATTGCAAGGGTATCGAATGTCCATCCGACATGAATTGAACATCGGGGTGGTTCACGGACACCCGTCACGTTGACTATTATTATACCGACCGACTGGAACTTAGTGGATTTTGATTGATTTTGTTTCCAAAATCTTGACATATGTCCACGACCCATCTGATCAGCACCCCATAATTAGAATGTGGATGAATGTGGTAACACTGGTAGGCCACATTGCGAGGTCTGGTTGGATGCAAAAGAGAGGTTATATAGATCATGTTGACGGTTGATGAATAAAGCATCCGAGCAGATGGGTTGGATTGCATTTTCATATGGGAGGGCGAGACTGTTCATCGGATGCCGACAGTCTGAGAGAGAGAGAGAGAGTCACGGAGTTGCTATCTGGATCGGTTTCAATGGGTTGCCGAACCATGAAGAGGCTCAATGAAGAGGCGGATTCTAAATGTCTTTTGGGCGACCTGACTGCGCTCCGCAACAGCAAGTCTGTTAGAATGTGTGCTTTGCCTCTCCGAACATTGAGGTACTTAGCCATCGGCCGTTTCCAAAATCGCATTCTCTTCTCTCTCTCTCTCTCTCTCTCTCACGTCAGCTGCTGCCACCTCTGGAGCACTGCTCCGTCCACCGCTGGAGCCCTGGTCCGTCCACCAGGTGCCATGACCCACGTGACCCGGTCCATCTGGTGCTATGACCCACAGCCATCTCAACCTCCCTCTGGGCTTTCGGCAGATTCCCGGGCGGAGGGCCGACGGAGGCCGACTACACGTGCGGGTGGGGAGAAAAAAGGCCGGCGGTCAAGATGGCGATGGTTTTCGGGTGGTCCCAGGCCTGACCAGGAACGGGCGACACCGGGCAAAAGGGTCTCGAACCAAGGAAACTGGCAAAGGAGGCCAGATCGAAAATTCGCCCCGCCTAGTCATGTAATGACCTCCCTGGCGCCACCTTGAGAGCCACCTTGGTAGAACACTGGCTTGACCCTTCGTAGCATCGATTCGATGTGACCTCACCGTCTCGGTGACGACAACGTGCCGTCCTGAACCTCGAACCTCAACGGTCGGTAGCCCGTTTCCCAAGGCTTCGTCTGTTTGGTCTTTCTTGGTCGTTTTAATGTGCTCTTAGTCTTATGACCTTTCTTCTTTCTTTAAGGCCCTGTAGACGATTCCTTTAGGTCTTAGGCCTTTCTACTTGCAATAACATGCAATAACGCTTGTTGATCTTACTTGAAGAAAGCTTCTTTCAAAGGGTTCGGTCACGAGAAAGGCGGCTCTCAGACGAGTTCCGGAGCCACTGGGACCTGTTAAGAGACGGTGGGATTCCACAAGGACGGCCCCCAAGGGCCATTTCAACCAAAGAACTTCAACCTGCAGGGACAACCAGTGCTGAATATCCACGAAGTTTGTTCAAGAAAAATCTTCAGTTGTACACCTGGTGGCCCTCTAAGACCAAAATAGACCTCCGTGCATCTCACCGGATGGATCTTGGGAGTCCAGCGCTGCGCCCCCTTCAGGTCCAGTGGTCCTGTCGATCTCCCAGTGAACGAGGTCATTAGGGTCAGGTCGCAGGCGCTCGCTGCGTCAGCCTTTTGGGTCGCTCGGATCACTGGATGGTCCATCAAAAAAAACCAGTCACCATGTGTCGTTGCAGCCACCAGCCCGTGCGGTTCCACCCCCTTTTTTCTGGTGAGATCGGCCAGTACAGCTGGAGGCTTTTGCTTTCAGCCTTCCGAGGATCCGTCACGTCACTCCTTGAAGAAAGGCAATGGCGATGTGACGTTGCGTCGCGTTGGACTGGAGTTGATGGTCGAACCCTCGAGGATTTGCTTCGCCACATGTGTCGAACCCTTCAAGGACGGCGATTTCGGCGATTTCGGCGACTGGTTCCAGCATGATCATGCTTGTCCTCGTCCGCTTTGTATACGATGGAATCCTTAAGAAGTTACAGTAATAAGTTGTCGGCGTGCTTTGGCTAGGAGTCGAAAGTGGGTCTCCAACAAGTGTCAAACAGCCCCTGGGGTGCTGTAAAGCCTCCTAAATATAAGTGGCACAATCCCGCACCAAACGCCAGCCAAACCCGCGTCCTTTCGGGATGGTGGACAAAACGAAACACCAGCCACTTGGCGATGGATTTGGTGGATCAACCGTAGGGGAACCGTTGTGAACCCTGCCCTCGTTTCGTAATGCATGTGTAATCTACAATCATCTACAGTACAATCTATTATCTCCAGCAAAACAAAGGTTGTTCGGGAAACCTGGAGTCAGCTTACTTGGGAAACATTATGAATCATGTTGGAAGATGCGGATCCTGCTCAGGGATTCACCGGGCAGGACCTATAAATTGGACATGTTCTCAAGCAAAAACCATTACAATCCTATTCCTGAACTGGGTCAGACATATCCCTCTAATCCATCCTGACTTCTGCTCGCAGCAGTCGCAGTCGCCAGCACCGAACGCCCGGTGGGGACGAGCCCACCGGGTTGGCCGCGGGTCGGCCGTGCTTCGGCCACGATCGATCACCGGTCTCCGACCGCTGCGGCCCAGTTCAGCCAAGTGCCAGTCTGTTAGAACTTGGCTGAACTAGACTCTCCCAGGGACTGGCACTAGGGTTCAGGGACTGAACCTGAGGTTGAAGAACCTGAACTAGACTATCCCAGTCTGGTAGAATGGTCCTAGTTCAGGTCACTGGCTACCTCTCTTTGTTTGGTGGATGAATGAAAAGCAGGTGAAACGGACCGGGCGGCTCGATGAAAAATATATATATATAACATGTGTATGTAGAAATATTATATATATATAAGTATGTGTGTGTGTGGTCATATCTATGTATAAGAGGGTCTATTATACATATTATAGTATATATTTCACTATATATCTGAATGGTCCTATTTACTATGAGATGAAAGATCTATCTATTTATCTATCTATATATATATATATGTATAACTGTATAACCTATGGCAGATTCTAAAGGATGCGCTTCATAAGATCTGAGAACCTGGTAGTCCCTGTAGGACCTCTTCCTCTTGCAGGTGTCACCCTCATGTTGGCTTCGCAGCGTTGTACGAGATGCCTCTGCTCCGCTCGGGAGCGAGCGGGTCACTGCTCCCAGAGGCTTCGCAGCAGCTCCTCCGTCTCACCTCGTGCGGGCGGCGGCCGCGGAAGACGGAAGACGTGGGCGGACGATGGTGGGGGGGAGCTGAACAGCACAGACGAGTCGCTAAGAGTGAAAGATGGAGGGCCGGTCACCGGCTCTCCCTCCTTTGGATCCCCAACCACCCAAAATCACGTCGATGACCAAGCAATGACGTCGATCTCTTGATCTTCATCTTCATAAAACTCCCCCCCACTTGAAACACATCTACAGTCGGCCTCAGAAGTTGAGACATCATCGACTCAGTCCGCACGACGGTTGATGGACTAACATCTGAAAGGTCAAGGTGTCTAGGGTGACCGCGGTGCGTGCACATGCGTGCACTCCAGGTGGTTCACAAAAGCGGCCCAGGCAACAGATATGATTTTCCCCGCCCTGCCCTTGTGATGACCCCACTTCTTGCTCAGTCTTTCAATCTAGCAAGGGGTTAGGGGAGCTCCCCAAGCCGCCGCCCCCTCCGGCGCTGAACGGCTTCCAGGACTCCCGACGATGGCCGTACTTCTGCGCACACCTTAGGACCCCACGGCTGACTTCCACCAGGTGGCAGTAGACGGCCTATACCCTAGATCTTCCAACTGCGCAAAGGTTCTGCCTTCTGGTTGGCTTTGGTTCGGAAAAAAAGGCCGAAAGATCCAGGCTATATGCCTTCACCCGTGCTCTTCAGCTTTGGATTCCCATCCACCTCCATGAAACCATCGAATTCTCGGTCAATATCCGCGCGGTCAACAGCCCCAGGACGCGCCCAGAATCGCCTCAAACGAAAACCCTGTTGATGGCCTTGTGATCCTTGTGGCTGTTGGCCTTGTGTGGAGTCCTATAACATCAAAGACCTGGAGTCGGTGTTCTCCTGGCCCATCAAGTCGCATTTTTTGTAAGTGGAACTTCTGGGAAAATCCTATGAATCCACCCCAACCTCTGCGATTCAAACATCAAGAAGCAGTCTGCAAGCAGTCTACAGCTACCTCACCAGCTGCGCTGCCCATTCCTTGAATCTACCCTAAAACTGAGCACTTGCCTGTACAAAGTGTGGGTCATCTGAACTGCATGGGCATGGGCGTACTGCAAAGAAAACATGCACGCTCCGAGTCATTAACCGTGGAAGCTGGAAAACACCTGCTTGGTATTCGGCAAGGGGATATCCAACGGGCCATGCCATACACTTCCATACTTGTTCCAGGGAGTGTGTATAGGTGTATATGTACATATACACCCCGGGATTCCACCACCATAGGTTGATACACTACAGGACCAGGTCAACTTGAGGTCACCCATTCCTTAAATGGTCTTGGAAGGCTTAGTCTGCATTGCCTGTGTCCCATGAAGCCCCACCACTCCGGAACCACGCCACCGAGAGATCTGGTCCCCCGGACTGGATGGGAGTGCGGCCCAGTGGTGTCTTCACCTGGGGAGGTGTAGCTGGGGGGGTGGTGATGGATCCCTCCTTCACGCTTCGGTCGTTTTCCAATGTCGATCACGGATCATCCATGGTTAGGCTGAGGCTCCTGAGTTGAAGGGACATACTGACACCCCCTGCTGGGCTCTTCAGCTTCCATATTCGTTATCAAGAAAGACACACAAAGCGTTCGGCTGAACATCTTCCAGTCCAACCCCTCCTGTGCCGTCTTGGACAACATAGCCATCTCATGCACAAGTCATCCAACATGTGCCCAGGGCAACGCAACGCCGACGCCGCACCTGCGCATGCTCAGGCTTCACCAGCAAACGCACCACCTCGGTGTGCCCATTCCTGGCGCAGAAAGAGATGGGTTCGAGCAACTCTTCTGGCCGTGGAGAGAGCAGCCAGGATGCTTGGTACTCGTCATATGGAATGTGAAATGTCATGTCACAAAAGAAAGAGAAAAAAAAGGACAATGCATCACCACAATATTCGCAATATCATCTTTGTCCACAAAATCATCCACAACTTGGCCCGGAATTCTGGTCCAGGGCCATAAAAAGGGATGCTCAAGCCCAAATATGTCTGAAAAAGCAGCAGAACGCCCCTAGTCAAACACCCTCAGACCACCCGTGAAGATCAACGGTCCGCGCGAAAAAAGTCGACGCACCGAACGGGTTGGAACCATCCGGCTGCGCCAAAAAACGCCTGACGGCCAGCAAAAAGCTGCACCAGCCACCTCAAGAGCGGAGCGGAGCGGATTGGGGGACTAGTGATGGGACCCTCAAGGGGGGTTTGCAGATAGGCCCCCCTCTCCTCAACACCGGGACGGACATATTGACCAGCTGAAATGGTGCTAGGACGGTCAATGGGGCGGCATATATGATGTTCCATACGATGGTCTGGGGTAGGGAAGGAATGCACCGAGCTTGGTCTAAAACATCATGATGCGACTGAGTTTGGAGCGCAGTAAGAGAATAACGTGGTCTCATTGCTTCATGGTTTTCCAGGCGACATGGTACAAAGAAATGTATGCTGACCACCGAAATCACCATCAAAACTCGTGGCACAAATCTCAGAAGTAAGAATAGTTCTTAGATGTCCTTAGTCTTAGTTCTTCAAGGTCTCCAGTAAACTGAAGGGAGAATTCCTTCTCGAGTCAAACCATTGCCCTCTCCCACGCACGCCATGGAAAAGCTGCAGCGCGCAAACACATCTTTTGGCCCACGTCGTTCATGGGTTTTGCGAAAGTGCCGCGCCACCCCACATCTGTCCCGTCTGACTCTCGCGACTAGCGAGAAGTCGAAACAAAAAGCACGGGCCACCATCGACAACCTCGGCCAAACAGGGTGAAAGGTGAAAAGCACGGAGTTGTTGACCAGGAGGCTGGTGGCCTACAAAAGACTCCAATCAAGAGAATCTGCGGGATTTGTTTGGAGGAGTCATCTATGGATGGCTATGGACAATAGCCATAAGTTGCACCACTACGGTCACCTTGTCATTCCCTCACCTCCACGTCGTCATGATGGATGTTTCCCGGGCTGTTGAAAGTCCCCCGTTTGTTCCCTTGCAGTCGTCCGTCTCCGTTCTATCCCCGACACTCCATGTATAGAAGCTTACAGTGGTGTCAGAGTAGATGGCACAGACCGAAACCGATGTTGTAGACACATGGCGGTTCATATAAACCACCGACGTCTTGGGGTCTGTGCCATTGCTCCTCTCAATCCCCAGTCCCTTGAGTCGTGTCCCGTCCCATGAGTCGTGACATCCTGCAGGCGTGCGAACGTCCTCGCAACCGGAGGTGAAACGTGGCGAACGTCCTCGTTTGGTTTACCAAAAAGTCCTCGTTTGGGGAATAAGAGAGGGAGGTCGGTGCCAGGTACCGGATACATCCGGATACCCATTGGTTGTACACGAGAATCCAGGGGATTCTTCCCTCTAATGAACCAACCCATGTGGAAGGGCCATCTACATGGTTTGGATGAGGGGGGCGGGGCATGGGTCCGCCAAGACCGTTGCCAGCAGATGTGCTGCACAGATGTGCCATCTCTATAGGCCCTTTTGATGTGACGGCCCCGGGAGTAGACCCAGACCAAGGCCATCGGGAATCCCAAACCTAACCCAACACGGCCCATGGGACGGCCGCATTGACCTACATTGGGTGATTTGAGGGGCCAATGTAGGTATATACATTTCACCCACGTGCATTTGGATGCGTTTGGCATGTAACTTACGGTCTTATCTGACCATTCCTGCCTTTGGAGGAGTTAACTGCGGCTGTGAACCAAAGAATTCGATCAACAACATCCAACTATTTTGCACCATCGACATCATCAGCATCATCAACTTCACTTGGTGACCATTCGACACCCAACCAGGTCCCCAAACACCCCTCCACCCCTCCCAGCCAGTTTGGGGCTCACCGAGGAGCATGCGATTCTCCGCTCTGATCAGCTTACATGTACCTCAGCCAGGTGGAACTCCACCGTTCTATCCTAGGGCTCCTGGCCCACCTCCTGAGGATGGGACTGGGGTGGGTGTCAGTGTCTCCAAAGCTCTTGGGGGGGGCAACTCTGCTCTTGGTCTGGCAGCTCTGTGAAAAAAGGAACCGGAGACGGCCTCCACCTCCCCAAATCCAGCCCAATGCCAACGTGGCCCTCCAAAAAGAAGACGCATACCTGGGAAGCCATTCCTTCCAAAAAAGATAGCAGCCCCAGTGGCATCATGCCGGACTCACGGCCCTTGTTCTTCACAATCTCCTGGGTCATCATGTTCTTCCAACCATCGGTGTAGGTCTCTGCAACCTGCTCCTGGACGTTCGCGGTCTCACCAGTCTTGGTCTTGGGTCGCATGGACTGAGGAAAGGAAGAGGACGGCCTGTGACGCTGTACTCAATCTTCGGTGAAGGAGGGGGGAATAGTCTCTCTCTCTCTCTCTCTCTCTCTCGGATTGTCTGGGACTCTCTCCGTTCGCCGTCCGCGGTCCGCCGGCTCTCGTGTGTCGAGGGCCGTGCAGGCCCGAACCGAGGCCGACCGCGAGCGAGGAAGCACCTGAAACCCCCGGCGGGGGTCCTTCAGGTGAACAATGGCCTTTGCAGGATCCAGGCCTTGGCTGCACCGGTCTGCGAAGGGTGCGACAGGGTGCGAGGGGGCTGGCCTGGTCCCCCCCTGCCGCGGGAGCTCCGTTGAGGTCGTCGGAACAAAAAAAAGAAAAAAAGGTTTTGCGAGGTCTGAACCAACAGGTCTCTTTGATTAGACCAATGGGGTTGTATAGAAACCCCGGTATACATGGGACCCACCTCCCATTCAAATCAACTGCGCGGGGTTATAAGTTATAAGTCTTCAATTCCAAAGGATGACAAATCTATGAGATGTTTGGGGGGGGGCAGTTCACAAGACGCCGGATGAGACGCCGTTTGAGCCCGAAAACGGTTCCTGGGTAGTGGATGGGGTGTGTGCAGTTCACGAGTGGGATGTGAGGGATTGTACAAACACCTAACCACCTGCAGCTATGCCCCGAACCCCCCCCAGGTTCAAATTCCGGGCTTCTCACCTTTCTCGCGGGTCCCCACCCTGAATCGTCCGTGATGACTGGATGGTCGGTGGGCGAGAGGAAGCCATGTTGGTCCCAGCCAGGTGGTTCAAAACAGGCCTCAAGAGTCTCATGGTATAGGTCTCCAGATGTCTCAAGAGTCTCGTGGCAAGGTGCTAAGCAAGCATTGAGGTGACTCTTGTTGCTCACCCTGTGCCATGACCAAGGAACCCTTGGGGCAGCAGTTGGTGCAGTTCATGATGCCGTGGCAGCGGTAGAGCTTCATGGTATCGTTCACCCAGGCCAAACGCTCCTGCGTTAACCCCGCCCGTGGTCCGCGACACGTCGGCGCGCAGACCCCCCCGCGCACCACCGTGTAGCTCAGCCCACGGCCCACGGGTTTGAGGGCCCGGTGTTTGGGAGGAAACAGTCAGCATCTCAATTTTCATGGGCTTTGCTGGAGGAAAATCTTGGCGGGATTTTCATGTGTTGCTCTCACCAATTTGAGAATCCATGTCGTGCAGTCGGGCAAGGCCAGGGCTTTTGATGCGTCAGTGAGGGCGAGGTGTTTGGGCCGATTCAGTGGGAATCGAGGTTCTGATTTGGGTCTGATCCAAGGTACACAGAAACGCTGACTCCGTGGCCGTTGACCATCATTGGGTCATTGGGCAATGGACCATCATTCGGGACTCCTGGATGGTCTTTAGGTCCTATGCGCGACTCCGAGAGGATCTGAAAGAAACTTACTTCAATGGGCCGGGAAAGCAGTGTTTGGATATCTTTGGACCTCTAGGGAATAAACAGCTCAAAGCCATCGAAGAACTTCTCCCTCAGGAATCGGCGGCTTGTCTTCTGATGCAACGGTACTCCTACAAATCAAATCCTTATCTACATAAAACGCAGAATAAGCTCCCCTACCAGAATGGTTCTACAATGTTTTACATCTCCATATGGAGGGCTATTGGTCAACCATCCACAATGACTTCTTTCCCACCCCCCCGGTACACCATTCTCTCCTCAGTGTACTGATCCCGGGAGTCTGCGATCCAGCGGTAGGCCTCTCTGATCGCCGGTCGCGGAGGTTGGTCATTGCGCAGTTCTGACCGGGCCCCGGGAGTCCACCGACGTTTTTCGTGAAAGAACTGTTGAGGGGGAACGGGTTATAGTATGTTATGGTACTTCAATTACCGTAAGACTGTAAGAGGAGTTAAGCTGGAGAGGTGTGGCCGAAGCGTGTCCTCCATTCCAGTCTCACAATCTCCCCTTGCCACTCTTCTTGGATCTTTATCCTTCTAGTGTTGCCTTCCTGTAGGGACTCTGATGGTTTGTATCAACCTTATCATGGTCACAGCATGTACAGGGCCCCCACTACACTCTGACGAACACATCCCATGCAAGTAGTGGTACACCCCCCTGTTTGGAAAGGAAAGCAGTCTTCCAAGATCCACTTCCATGTGATGTGTTCGTCAGAGTGTGCGTCCACTTCCCCAAGAGGCCCTGCGCACGAACAGGAGTTCTGCCCAGATCTGCCTGCATCAGCACCGCTGGGCCCAGGTAGTACTCGGGGTTCCTGGGCGGGGCATGTCCGTCCCCCACACCTTGAGGGACCCCTCTGTCTTGGTCTTGCACCTTGAGGTCGTTGATTGATTTTTGGGGTGGCTGGGCCTGTCTCGAAGCCCCAGCCCCCCCAAACCTATTCCTCCATTCACCCCAAGTCGACGGCAGAAACGTTCAGAAACCTCCTCGCCATGAAAACACACCGCTTCGCGCCGCCCGAGGCTCCACCAGTAGGAAGGGCAGGAGGTCATACAGCAAGCGCACAAAATGCACCTGAGCGCAGGAGGAACAGCTGAATGGCTCAAAGTCAGAACCTCATCTACGGCGCCAAGCGTTCAAGCTTTTACACCGAAGAGAAGCACATGGAACCTGAAAATGACTCCAGTCGTAGAGGAACATCGTCTTCCAGTCTGGTCCATGTTCAGGTTCCATGTTGCATGGTTTCTCACCATCTTTCACCCGCCACCGACCTGGCCTCTTTGGGACCCACCTGCCCATCAGCCACGTGCCACCTACATCTACCACGGTGCCCGGTGAACAGCCCGCGAAAAGGCCATCCATCCGGGTTTGGAGCGGAGAACTCCGGACCAGTGGCCGGCGAGGCGGAAGGTGATACAGAAAAGGCCCGGTGGAATGGGACGAGGAGAGGCCCACTGAACCATGTTGGGGCCCCTTTTCCTTCCAAGAGAGGAGAGACCAGGACCCCTGGTCTGTGGTACATATGGGATGGGCGACAAGACGGGCTGTTCAACCTCTCTTGCTTCTGCGCTGTGATCGGCAAAGACATCAAAAGCCTTGGTCTTTTTCATACATTGGCGGCCCCAATTTCTTGATCGGCTCTTCTTCGATCTTTTGGCCACTCCTCTGCCCCAAATTCGCCCCCCAACACCACTTTCCGAACACCTTCCCAGCAAGGTATATGACGGCTAGGGAAGCGTTTCCGAAAAAAAGACGGCTGAAAGGGATTCGCCAGCTGGGCGGCTCGTACATGCCATCCAGCTTGGCTCGATCCTCGCGGCTCTGAAAGTACTCCTTGTCGTTCTTGCCCTTCACATCCTGCAGGACCAGCAGCAGCGCCGACCGCTCACCCGCGCGGGGTTTGTAAAGAAAAAACGGGGTCAGCGAAGGAAGATCAAGGTCCTCTTGGTGACCAAAGTGGCCACGGGTAAACTCTATATATCGTATATATAATGGCTGCCAATGAGTGAGACGTTGCCTCACCTCTACCAGGCTCTACCCCTCCACCCTCTCTTAATTTCTGGGAAGGAACCTCCCTTCCAAAGCACATCAACACCCCCCCCGCCCGGCTCCTTGCGCTTGAGCCAGGGTTCGATGGACTTGTACCTTGGCCGCGCGGACCGAAGACTGGCAGTGACGGTCTGACCCCCAAGTGGTACTCGGTGGCATTCGGTGGCCCCACCCAGCTGGCCGACCTGGCTTTATGGTGCAAAAAGGACTCCCTCAAGGAAAAAGGGACCTGAAGGACCTGAATTCTCGCGACCTGAAGGACCTCGCCCTCATGACCAAAAAGCCCGGAAACACCGAGCTGGACTTCCCATCAATTCCTTTCCCAGATCCTCCCATGCAAAAACTGCTACATCCAGCCATCTTTGTTGCCTACATCGGAAGACTCTTTGATTCTTGGCCGAGACAGGGTTTCCCACCAAAAAGCCCGCAGCATCGCGGAGCCCAACCCCTTTCTCCCTCCATTACTGAAGGGCCCAGTAGTTGTCAGTCACTCTTGGAGCCTTTCCAGGGCCACACACCTCTTTGAGCCCAAGAAGCTGGTTGTAGAAGTTGGTGAGGTCCGGCACCAAATCCTCCGAGCTCGCACCAAACCCACCGCCCCGACTCGATCCCAGCATGACTGGGGCCGCACAGACGGGGACCTGCAGAGAGCCCTGAGACATCTGAGACGGCCAAGTGGCGCGGCAGACCCCGAGCCAGTGGATTTGGTGGTTGCATGTCGTTTCTCCTAAATGAAGGGCCAGCAGTTCCTTGATGTTCGAAAAAGACGGCCAGCAGTTCCAAGGGGTGACTCTTAGGTCCTCCCTTTTGGCCTCCCGACCTGGGAGAAGTTCTGCCTCCAGTCTGCAGAAGCTTCTGGTCCTTCCACCGAAGTGAAAGGCCTCTCCCTGCTACACGTCGCCATTCCGGTCCTTCACCACATAGGTGTGAGGCAAGGGCTGAATCTCAATCGGCTTGCTGCTCTCCTCGATGTACAACAAGCAGGCCAACCCGTTCCTGAGTTCCGTCCCGCGGTGCGCTGAGCGAGCGATCCATGCGCCGGAAGGGCGCACCAAGAAGCGATCCTCAGGTCTCCGTTGACGGATCCTAAGGGGTGGTTGATGGACCTCCCGAATCACCTCTCAAATCCTATGGTTCAACCACGCCCGAACAGGATGCTTACAGTCATTGGAGGGGGAACCCTGCGGGCTCCGGCTGGGTCCTTGAAAACCCGCCAACGCTGGGAAGCTCCGAGCTCCGGGTCCCTGCCTTCTGCCGGACCAGGGCCGGACCAAGCAGCACAAGAAGGAAGTCCCAAGAACAGGCTACAGGCTGTAGCGGTGGAACTGGGCAGCCGAAACTGGTTGAAACTGTTTCAACTGCGCAGGGCTCGGTTTCAACGTGTTGGACCCTGGCACGCCCAAAAGAAGATCCAAGAAGGCCTGGAGGAGGCCATCATCCCCTCCCCCTTCCCCACGATCACCACCCGTCACCCGTCCAAACCCGCGACGGTCCGTCGGGGCGAGGGGTTGCAACAACCCTGACAGAAGTCCAGTTCGACTGGACTTGTGACAGTCCAGGAGTGTTGGACACTCAATGTCCTTTCGGGCCCACCTTTACGTGGCCATTTTTCGGATGGATGAAACATGGTCTTCAGAAAATGGCCTCGCAGGGACCAGGGAGAATGAAGTCCGCCACGGCGCTTTCCGTTGATGTTCATCGCGCAGGAGCCGCAGATGCCCTCGCGACAGGAGCGGCGGAAGGTCAGGGTGGTGTCCACCTCGCGCGCGTGGAGAAACCGCGCCGTGGGGGTGTGGAGAGGTTGGAGAGGCTGGAGGCGGTTCCAAGATCCTAGGGATCCAGTCATACCTTCTCAGAAGGTACGACTGGACCCTCCAAACCTACACAACAGTGTCTCCAAGCACCTTCTCAGAGAGTATGTGGATCCCTAGGCCAACGGCTGGCGAATGATAGCAGTGTTAAAAGAGAGATGAAAAACGAAAGAGTCGGTGTGGTATCTGGATGGCCCTTGCGACTTCTGGATGAGACCATGAAAAAAGAAGGACCAAGTGAAAATACTCAAACGCCACTGGACCTTCACCATCCACAAGCGCTGAAAATCATCCAGTATGCCTCAGAAACAAGACGAAACAAGGAACAATCTTATCATCCAAGTGCTCTATCCCAACAAGGTTGGGCAAATCCCCGCTTCCAACCTCGACTGGAAAAACTTCATCCGTCTTAATCTTCCTCACCACCCCGCCACAACCGGAAAGGATATCCCTATACATGTATACATTACACGGTTTGTGACCGGATATAACTGTTGGTGCCCTTTTTGGAAAACCCACCGTCTTTATCGTATATGCAAACACTGCTTTTTGGCATTCGCTTTAAACTTGCTCAATTGACTTTTGATAACTTTTATGGCCTCCAAAGGTTTCAATCAGCGCCTCAATCGGCTGGCTGCACAGCCCCGCAGGGGCCCCCCGGGGGCACAGCCCGGTCGAGGTCCGTGCGCCTCATCCTTGATCTTGATGAGGGCATCCAAGATCATGGGGCCACAGGCTTTCAGGTCGATGGTGTACTCCTGCAGCTGTCGACTGGATCGACTGCAGTCATTGTTCTTCCCCAAGGCCCCCAGACATTCGTCTGGATGAGTTCTACGACCCGGACCATTCCGTCTTGAGAAGATGCTTGGCATCTGGAAAAATAGCTCCCGGATCCGTCCAACGCCGCCACGTCTCCCGCAGCCGTCGACCCTGCTTCTTCTCCCGACGGCCCTCTCCTGCAGGAACGGCTTGGCCTGAACGTCCGGGTCATAGCGGTAGATCCTCGGTAGACCGATCGACGGGCATTGGGTAACGGGGCAAACACGAGGAGCCAACGGTCTGGATCTCAACGGTCTGGATCTGAAAAAGACGAAGGCCTGGATCATGCTTTCCTGGTGGGTTTGGGTGCCGGGATCAAGAGGAAGACGAAAGAAGTGGCAGTGAAACCAAAAGACCTATGGGTCTACTGCATTAGAAGTCAATGGCTGACATTGGCAAAGTGGCACCTGTGAATTTCAAAGGAGGATGAAAAGTCCCAAAAACCAAAACATTCCCCTCTGAGCTGGCCTCCGGCTTTGCCCCTTTTTGGAACGCATGGTGCTGATGCTCTGACGATCCCTGATCCAATCTCAGCATGAAACTCCAAACCCAAACCGAACTAACTACATAGGCTACATACCAGGACCCTCCAAGGGGTGCCCAATGGAAGCCTATAGGTAGTGTGGGGTAGTCCAGCCAGGACACCCCTTAAAGGCTACATAGGGCCCATCCATTCCCGCTCATCTGCGCCCGGTCCCCCCTCCAGCACACCGACCCAACGTCTGGTCCAAGTCACGCAAAGGCCTGAGGCTTCGCCATGGCCGCGAAACTCCGGGGCAGGGGAAGGCCGCGCACGCCAGCGCTGAGGCTGCGTGGGGCGAGGCTGCGGAAAGCTGAGAACGCCATGGCTGCGGGGCGGAGGCGAGCAGGAGGGCGAGCAACAGGGCGGGCGCGAAGGGAGCGCGAAAGAGCTAAGGGCAGCCTTGAGGTCCGTGAGCCAAGAGGAACCGGCAATGTGGATGTGACTCACTAAGTGTCAAAAAAAGAGAGAGAGAGAGAAGGGAAAAGGAGCGCCGATTTAATTATCGGGGCCATGGCAACATCTTGCCGCTGACACCTTTCCCCAGTGCTCCTTACAAGATTCATAAGATTTCACAAGTTTAAGCCGTTCTGAAGCACATGCGTATGGGCAAGCTCTCCAAAAGGCGCCTTCTCAAATCTCTCCCAGCAGCTCTTGAGTTTCATGCATTTTGGGAAACTTCTGCATGGGGAACCCGTGCCATGAACACCAAACCGTGAACATGCTACGACCATACACCGCCGCCACCCGCCCGAACTGGGGTTTGGACTCGGCAGCTTCTTCTGCGCGTCCGCCCCGTGCCGAAGCAAGCACTGGACCTGAGTGCAGTTGGCTCAGACAGAGCAGGTTGCTTGGCGTACCTTCACCCTAGGGCCCTTAGAGGTGGTTTTGTATATATGTTTACATGTTAGTACATAAATATATAGTATATACTCTAGGCTATATAATACTATATATAGATATGCAGCGAACGCCCCACCCCTAGGTCCAGTACAACATGGACAAGACTGGTTGATGTGTGGTCCGATGTGTCTGTGTGGAAGATAAACATCAACCTGAACATACCCTAGGGCTCCTGGCCCTTCTCCTCAGCTTCGGTGGTTCGACCCCCCCCCACCCACCCCAGTCCCATCTTGTCAGGAGGTGGGCCAGGAGCCCTAGGGATACTTCATCTTTACCCCTGAGATCGGCCCAGCACCGATCGGTCTCAAGATGCTTCTCCGAACCACGGAACCTCTCCGAGCGAGTCACGTCCCTGCCACGGAGAACGTGACGTCGGGTGACGACCGCCCCTCTCCCAAGCGGCCACGGCCGTCCGGCCCAAGCGTGAGGCCACCATCAGCGGCGTGGCGCCACCCTCCATGACCTGGGTGGTGCTTGTGGCGCTCCTCTCGGCCGACCTCAAGGACACCTCAAGGACCTGGGTGGACACCTCGGGTGGGCCGCAAAAGCACATGGAGCCCGGAAACTCGAGGAAAAAGAGGTGCAGCAAGCCTGGATTCGGCTCGATTCTGCTTGGCTGGGTCATGGGAGGGTCCTGATTTTGGTCATCTGACTCGATCCATGGGAGTTGTGAGGGGTTGTGGGAGCCACCCAATGTCAGGTCACCAGCGCCGGCCATGTCAGGGCTCTGCAGGGCACTCTTCCAGCTTTACCCCAAAAAAAGAGTTGGTTTGAGCATTGCTGTGAGTGAGGCCTTTCAGCAGGTCTACAGGTCATTGGGGCTGAACTATCCACCCCAGATCACCCCAGTCTTCCCTTCGACCACTTAAAAAGGAAAAACCGATGGACCGACCGAGTTTTGCCATCTCAAATCCTGGATGTGCCACCATCCTAGTTCACGACTCGAACCAATTAAAATGGGTGCCCCAGGAGCCTATGGCAAACCAACCAGATCACCTCCCTTCGCCGACCCCCTGGCTAGGCCCAGTGGCTGGATCTACGGCGGCTCCGTGGCTCAGTAAGACCTGGCGCAGACGCTGAAAGGGCTCCAGGAAAAGCGGGTGGAGTGAGGGCCGAGATTAAGGACCGATCAAAAGCCTCCCCAGACGCGACCCTGGACCCTCAGATGGAGGGGTTGGACCCTAAGATGGAGGGGTCAGGGGTCTCAAGTCCCTAGGTTTTGAGGGACCAAGGGCTGTTTGGAGCGTCTGGGTGGTACAAATCTTGGTACCTTACAGGACAAGATCGGAACAGGACAAGGATAAAACTGTTGTACGATTCGCGAGTCGGAATTGGTACACTAGTGGTACAAAAGTGTGAAAGAGCATATGAAAGGCCTCCCCCCCCTCGAAATTGATCCCAGCTCCGTTCTGCTTTGATAGAATCGAGGGACAAACCTGTTTGGGGTAAAATCAAAGGTGCTGACTTACCAGGTCGAAGCGCAAAAGCAAACCCTTCACATCGCCTCGCGAAACCATCTGCCCAAAGACATCGAGTGATGTGCACCGCAGTGCGCACCGTTTTGAGGGGTAAGCTTGCCCTCACCTGCGCCACAGCAGCAGCGCGGGGAGGCTCCGGAGATCCTGGCGGATTCGAGGGGCACAGTTCAATCTAGTACGAGTCAGAGTGTAAGTTGATCGAATAAGACACAATTCAATCTTCATGGTTTATAAGCAACATATAAGTCAGTACTACTTCTACTACTTGCGGTTCCCATCGGCATCAAATCGTTCAAAACATTGCACACCAACAATGATGTTCCTTTCTCCTTGATCCGTTGGGCTGCCAGAGAACGAATCGATGCATCAAGCCGCAACTACAGCCACTAACGAAGTTCCACATAATGTCATCAAAATAATATGGTGTTAATTACACAATTCCCTTTATGATACAGCAAAAATTATACTATAAATGATGTATATATTCTTTATGTTGTATTGTGTTGGTGGTACTATACAGAATGCTGTACCATAATAAATACGGTTCACCGCTCTTTGACTTCTTTTTGGGTGGGCCCCGGTGCCACGAACAACCGTCCTCCAGCACCGGCCGCCAGGTGGAGTGCCGTGATCTCGTGGCTGGTCACTGCCTGCCGCGGGAGGCGGGGCTTCTTCTCTCGGGGAACGAAAGACGGTGACCTGTCTGGGTCCAGGTCGCTGGGTCCACCCCGCGAGGACGGCGAGGACGTCTCCAAAGACTTGGACCTGTGACGCTATGTCATTATGAAGGACCTTGTGATTATGAAACCAAAGGCGCCCTGAAAGACTCACAAGGACTGCGCCGAAACCGCCATGTCGACGGACCTGGATCGACCGAGGGAAATCGATCCACCAAACCGGCACCGAGGTGACACCGCGAGCCACACGAGTCGGTGAGGTTGGGGATCATGATTCACAACAGACGAGACATGTCGCGCCGACGTTGGACTGGACTTCAAGGCCATGAATTGGACTGGACTGGATCGTCTTAAAGGCCATGTGTCATGTTTCATGATCGTCGACTGGACTCCCAGGGAGCCTCTTCTTCACACAAGCCTGGAAGAATCATGGCTGCGTGGATGGCATGGCCCATTTTTCGAATACCAAACAGGTGGTACCATCCACTTCAATGATGATTTTCAGGGAGTGTAGTACTAGCCCATCCCCTCGTATGGGGTCCCAGTTCAGGTTTCTCAACCTTGATGTGCACTAGAATAGGGACTTCCATTTGTTTATTCCCGCGCGGCTGCACTTTGGCGACTGCCAGAATGGCCCGGTTCGGAGCACGGTTCGTCGCCGGGTTTGACCCGGGACCACTCCAAAGCAAGCGAACCAATCCCCCAGGTCAGGAGGTGCCCCGAACTTGGAAATAGCTCAACCCCACCTGGCTCTTCTTTACCACACAGCCTCGGCCGTCTCAGGGACGCTCCGCTCGGGGCCCCGCACCTCCGGGGGGGCACCGCTCCGCAGGAGTAGCTGGACTACTCGGTTGTCCCCCGCCTTGACGGGAAGTTCAGGTGGCAGGTGGATGAAGGACGCCTATGTTTTGCTGTCAAAAAAAACATCTATACCAGGACCCTCCAGTCGGCGTGGTTAATGGACACTCCGAATCACAGCGTTTTGGGGCTAAGCCATAGACACCCCGACAGGAGGGTCCTGGTATATTTAAATCTAGTCTGGATGTAGTCTGGATGTGAAAGGGCCTGCTCGCTCGCTCCATCTTGGCCCTACTTCGCGGAGGGCGCGTCCGTGGAGGTCGATTTCAATGGCACGGCGTCGATTTGGACATCCAACACCCCCCCGAGTCATTCGTTCTGGTCGGGGCTATCTATATGGACACCCGGAATCAATGGTGCTGGTACTTCATGTAGACTCTTGATGAAAGAGTCACCCCCCCCATCATGAAGAAGATCTCCAATTCAATCTGGGGTGGGTGTATTAAACAATCTACATGACAATGACCTGTTTACAGTCTCATGATGTCCAATTCAAATGGGGGATCTGCATGTGCGTAGCAGGTCTGCGCCTCCAGCGTGGTCCAATTCGGCGTTTCAGGGCGAGACGAGACACTCTCAGAGCGCCCGAGCGGTGCGGAAGCAACGGTCCCCGGAAGCAACACTGGAAGCAACACTAGAAGCATCCTGAAGCAACATAACAAGGTTGTATGTTAGCTCCCTGAAACTCATGCAAGTGAATGGTACCACCTGTTTCGTATCCAGAAAATGGTCATCCATTTGCGGGGCATGCCATCCATGCGGCCATGATTATTCCAACGAGTGCAACCCTGTTCACGACCCTCTCAACCTTTTCACCAGCTCGGACACTTTCCAAACATCTTGAACATCCGGCCCCATGATATACTATATGATTCGATATGATATATACTCATGCATGTCAACGAAGATTGCAAACTGAATCAAAATGAGTAAGGCCTTAGGCAGAGGGGGGTGGACCTGTCTCCCCATTGGAAGAACTTCCCTTCTCGGCTCCATTCACCCAAAACGCCCTCAGACACGCCACGCTCCAACCCTCGGCTCCCCCGGCTCAAGCTCCCGGTCTGACCGCCTCGGCGGCCACGTGCAAGGGGCTGAGCACCTGCGGTCGACCCGTCCGTCAGGGGCGGCCCGTGGACCGGCCGTTCTGCGTCGGGACGCAGAAGGGCCAGCTCCACGCAACGAAGAAGATCACGCAACGAAGCCATTCGACCAAAGTCCGAGAACCAAACCATGCCCGACAACCCATGCCTTCTGAAAAACTTGATCACAACCGACCTCGTGAATACACCAAGGATCATGTAGACTCTTGCCTATGATTGATAAAACCATATAAAGACCCCCCCAGACATGGCATGTGAAAACTCTGGATGGGAGGTTGTATTATCAAGAGTCCACATGAGGTGGGAAAATCACTTCGGTCCCTATATATGCCTGGAACCCTTTGGACCCCTGTTTTGATAGATAAAGACCATCTTTTGGGTGGTTGGTGGTCCAAGATAGAGGTCACTCAGATTCTAGGTATACCTAGAACCCGGACATGACCTCCGCTTTGATATGAAAAGACCATGTTTGGGCTCCTTAAAGCAGGGGTCAATCAGGTTCTATACATATGTATATATATATATATCTCTCTCTCTTAAAACAATAATGGATGCTCATGTTCAGTGGAACCCAAAGGCCCCCAGAGAAAAAACACAAGAAAAAGCAAATCCTCCGTTTCAGGGGGTCCTGGTCAGGTTCCTCCAAATCGCCCCCCCAAACTCCCAACTGCTCAAAGCTGCTGCTCGAAGCCGCCGCCGACCCCAACCAACCGCTCCTTGGAGGATGGCTCCATGCCCGACCTGCTGTCGCGGTGAGGGAGTTTCGAACATCGCTGAGGACGAAAACTGGGACCTGTCCAGGCTCTGCGGTAGGTGGAGATGGTGGATCTGGGAGGTGGATGGCCCTGACGTGGACCCCCCCTCGATGGCCCTGACGGATCCCCCGCTGTTAGGGACTGGATCGATCCAGCCCTTTCAGCAGTAGCAACCAGGGCAGGGGACACGAACACGGAAACGATGACTCCAATGACTTCAAAGGAGGTCAGTGAGTCAGCTTTGCTTGACTTTGTGGATTTGTTGCTTGCAGTGTGGAAGCGAGCCCTCTTGGCACTGGCAACGGCGTCACCTCTCAGTCTCATGGTGGTCACCTACTCAAATTGAAACATATACAGTGGTTTCAACTGGCTTCGGAGTAGATGGCACAAACTCCTCGATGTCCTTCAGGTGGGGGTTCAAATAAACCACCTTAAGCAAACTGTGCCATCTACTCGGAATCCACTGGATTCGTTAACCAGTTCGAGTTGCACCTGCAAATGGGCTCCACTGAAAGCAACTAGAAACATCCCCAGCTCCACTCACCGAGCTCCCAAGCTTCGCCGCCAGCACCGCCGCCACGTTGGACTCATCCCCACTCTGCACGGCCAAGTGAAGGGGCGTCCATCCCTGGAGGAGAGCAGAACCATTGGGGACCGAAACTTGGTGCGTGGCCGACCTAGACTCCCCATGGAATTGGAAGTGGATGGCATGGCCCCTCAAATGACCAGACCAGCGGCTTTCCACTTCCAACAGGAACAGAGAGCACACTTCCCAAAAAAAACATACAAGACTGGGAGCTCTGGGAAACCGTGCCGGGAAACCCTCCGCCGAAGATCTGGATGGGTCCCAGTAAGGGCGTGCGCGCTAAGCGTGAAGTAAGGAGTCGTCGGAACATGTGGACCGATCCGTTTTCAAGGAACTTCCTGGACTCTGCCAAGGAAATACGTTGTCTGTTTGGATGTCTTTGGACCTCTAGGCTGGGCTTGTGCCCAAACAATGCAAGCCAATCTCAGAAATATGTATAATCAAGTACATATATATATATACATATGTGTGTGTGTGTGCGTCATAGAGTCGCGCTTCAGTTGTTGGATCAGAATGCCACTCTTCAGTGCATCGTTCCGGATCGTTGTTCTTGGTGCCTCCTCGGTGCTGGAAAGCTGCGCATGGTGCTGCAGCAGCAGCTGGATGACGTGTTTGCTCCTGAAGGTGAGGGGACCCAGCTTCCCCAGTCACCCCTCAGGTTGGGAGGCACTCAGCAACCCTTTGACGGTGACCAGGAGGTCCACACTTGGACCAGCTGATTTATGGGCAAGCAATGCGTTCGTCACATCCACCAACCGCCATTCTAGAATGTTGCAGATCTGGTCAGGGGGGAGCCACTGGCAGGGTGTTCAGTAAGCCAGCTGACAGCTGAGCTCCCAACGACTGTGCTAAACAGGTCGGTGAAAAACTCAGAATCGCCCCAGGGCAGCCCAGCCCGCGCCTGCCCGCCTGCTGGGCACGGGCTGGGTGCCTTTCTTGGCTCCAAGTAAGCAAAGCTCCAGGTCACCCAATTCCACGCGCAAACAAAGCACCTCTTAAGACTTCGGAACCATTGGAACCCCCCCTCGAATCCAAGGTTCTCAGGAATGAGGCAAGCCAGATGCAAAGGCGTCCAATGACCCGGCCTCAGCTTTCCGGAGTCCAGCCCCCCCACCAATAAGTAAGCACATGCCACCCCACTGAACACACCCACATGTCCACGACGCATCCCTGCCGATGGATAGCTCACTCCAAAGCCGACCACCTTCGCCGACCACCTTCCTCGGCCGTCCCGAGGGGGTGCCGCCGAGCGGCAAGGACTTCTCGAGGTCAGCGCCACTGAGCACCAGCAGCTTCACCAGCTCCGGCTGCTGGGCCTCCACCGCTACCTGGGCCCAGGTGGACGTGGCGGGGTGGTGCAGTGGAGGTGAGTGATTTGGTGAAAGGGCAGTTTGGTGTCTCTTCAGGTCCCTGCCATCTCTGGCCGACTCTGTTCTCACGACACCTGTGATGTGCGCAGCAAGCTGCACACCAAGCACGAAACGGCCGCATGAGGCGTGAAGACCTTCCTGGGACCTTCTTGGTGGCCTTTTCAGGATTTGTAGGTAACCTTTTAGAGGCCTGAGTCACCTCAGACACTGGAAATCTGGGAAGGTCGGCAGGTCACTGAGAAGGTCCAGAGTCCATCCGTCTGTAACCGGGAGCCCGGACCATGAGTGGCGTCCGTCCGCGTGTGCTGGGTAGGTTCATGGAGGCGCCATGCTCCAGCAAGGTCCTGGGGACCGGGAAGGAGGAAGGCTACGGCTCCAAGCGCGAGACCTCAGAAACCACTCTCCGAAGACCCTATTCACTCCAAGTGTTTCCCTGAGTGACTGCTCTGGCAGCCAATGAGACGAGATCTTTTAACCGGGAGGGACAGAATTGGACCTGAAGTCCCAAAAATTGGTACCACAAGACCAAGGGAAGGCACTGCATCCTCCATGCTCTGCACCCTCCACCAACCAGCTGCCTCGCACTCTTGTCCACCCCAGAAGAAACACTGTTCGGGTCACGGGTTGGACAGCAGACCGGGACGGGCCAGGGCCGGCACTCGGTTGAACGAATCCACCTTCACCGAGACGTCCAGACCCAGGACCGAACCGGGAGGAGGTAGAAGTTCGGTCACTTGGAAGAGCTTCGCTCCTCCAAACAAGTCCCAAAGTCCCAACGACACCGAGGTGAAACCCGGTGCCTTCGAAGAATCCCACCTTCCAAAACGCCCACATCGTTCCACCTAGAATGCACCAGCAAGAACCCACCGGGACCCATGTCCAAATCGAATGCCCCAATTGACCAGAGATAGGAGAGGATGTTTCGCCGGGTCACCGCTGCAGAGTTGATTTCTGGGTCCACTCCCCAATGAAACACCAGTTCAGCGCTCCTTCCGAGCGCTCCATCCATGGTTCCACATCCCCAACCCAAAAGAAACGAAGGACCTCTGGTGATGTGCAATGCATTTGGGTGCGCATGCTCATACAAAGACACCCCTCTCTCGCCCCTGGCTGCGTAGACTGGTCTACGTTTTGGGGTCGGAACCGCCTTGAGCTACACACCCCATTGGTTCGACCCCCTCGGGCCTGGCCACTGCCAACTGCCCGGCCTGCCCGGCGTGCGGGTCCTTCGGGGGGGGTCCTGCAGGGGTCCTGAGGCATCTAGGAAACTGGCCGTAGTTGTGGGAGGTCGGCGATGCGGCCAAAACTATACGACGTGTGGAACGTAAAGCATTCCATCACAACATGTTGGCCAACATGGCAATCATGAACTTGGCGGAAGCGGATTGCTGTATTGCAATGCGACGCCTTCTTTCTGCGGCCAACGACACATGGTCAGCCTCAGACCTGATGAGGCCTCATGTACCTTCCAACAATTGGACAGGGCGGCCTCTTATGATAGCATACCATGCCACACCCTCATGACACCACCAAAACGTTTAAAGCAGAAGGTGGCAAGTTGAGAAGTGCAAAAATGAATGCATCTATATAGCTCATTCAATTCACTAAACCGTGCAAGCATTCAACCTTCAACCCACCATGTGCCGCTTCAGGCGGCCGAGCCACGCCGCTCGCACCAGTCGCTGCGCCCCCCCCTTCTTCAGTGCCAAACAAAGAGTCCGGGCCGTGCCGCGCGGGCAAACCCGACGCGACGCTTCGTCGGCCTAATGGTACCGGAAAGCAAGGGCGGGACCCCGACGCGGAAGGGCTACTGAGATATGCTGTATGCGTAGTGTATGTAGGAGTCATCTCTTCCCACCGGGGAAAGGCCCAGCGTGGATTAGGACCGAGTTGAGCCAAAGATTCCGCTTCCCTTCCCTGAGATCGCAATCGCCCTCCAGGATTGAGACAGACGGACTCTCTCAGAAGAGGTTGGTCTTCTTCATGATGCGAAGGAACTCTTCTTCGTTCACCTCGCCTCAGTGGAAGGCACATCGAGATCGAACTCGGCTCCATCCGCAAGAAAATCAGGTGCTTTCCCTCGTCCTTAAATCTCTCTTTAAACAATATATATATACTTATACGACTTATATATATAATATTTGCTTTTTGCTTTCCATGTTGTTCAAGTGTTATAATATAACATATATTGGTATCACTTGAACATAATAGGTTATAACGAATAGCATATCATTTCTCCAATTAATTGGTATCACAATATACTCGTGTTTTCAGTATGTTTTTGGGGGTCTCAGATTTCGAGCCTCCCCATGGGAACGCTGCACAATCATGTCCATCACCCACTTTTGGTGGGCTCGGGTGTGAGTTTTGTGGTTGGCGTGCCAGAATAATTAACTACATGCCTAGAATCCGGTTCTTTCTCGGGACAGTCAGGACATGACCCAGAATCCGTCAGCCCAAGAACTCTGAAAAGCACAGGAAGTTGAACTAGGGAGACCTCCCAGGCGTTCCGACCCACCTCAAAGGTTCAGATCGCCCGGACGTCCGCCCCTTCTTTTTCCCCCAGATCGAACCATGCACTGGTGTTTCTGCCTACGTCCATCTATTTGGGACCGGTTTTCCTCTGATCGAATGGACTAGTCGCGCTAGTCGCTGCCTGCTGCTCACTCGCTTCACGGAAAGTGTTTCCCTTCAACCCCCCGACCAACCAACAGAGGTTGAAGGACCTTATAGACTATCCCAGTCTGGTACCCCAGAATGGTCCTAGTTCAGGTCACATGACTTAACCTCTCTTGAAACCCCCTGGCCTCCCCGCCGTCGCCGTCGTTGCGTTGGGCCTCCCCGCCGTCGCCGTCGCGGTCGGCCTCGTCGATCATCTCCTGCAGCTCCTGCAGCTCCCCACGGTGGCGAGCGGTGCGGACGCGGGAGGGTGGAGAAGGTGGAGGCATGTGGATGCATGTGGAGGCGAGACATGTGGAGTCAGGTGAAAATGGGTTCAGGACGTCGACCTCTTGTTCAAGTATTTGGGGGGGTGAGTTTTCGGGGATCAAAGAGAAGTTTTTCGGGTAGCATTTGGACTCAAGGCGCTACCCACATGGTGCAAGGCATGTTCCCAAAGGGTTTGAGTGAAGGACCTCAGAGAAAGGATCCTTGGTTTGTTGGACCTGCCAGCACCCCAGGAGCTGCTGCTTTGAAAGTTGAGACTTCTAGCGGATCTGAATGGGACATCCACGTCCACGTCGGATCTGGGCACCGCAGGCGACGAACCACGCGACTCCACGTCTTCGGCTGACACCACCGCTGCTGGTGGGAGATTCGGAACAACTCCGACTCTGGCCGGGAGCCATGTTCATCCATTTTCCACTGGTGACCGGAGTGTACTGACCCCCAAGCACGTCACTTCCAGGTCACGTGCTCCCACGTCACCCTCACCCTCACCTCTTGTCACGTCACCCCGCGTGTGGCGCTCCTCGTCGGTCATGCGCTCGCCCAGCTCCTTGGCCACGCGCTTCAGATTCCTTGGAGTCGCGCGGTTCGGGTTCGGACGAAGTGAAGGTGTCTGGCGAACGGCAGTGGAAACCACAGGCCCCAAGAACAAGGTGTCTGGAGGTGTCTGGCATAGGGTTTTTGCATGCATTATTTCTTGCAGGTTTTACCCTTCCAAATGCCACAATCATGGTGTAATTTGTGCCTTGAATGTCCAACACCCAAACTCTTTACTACAAGTGCTGCGTTTCTCTCGATCTTCATCTGGGTTTACACCCAGCAATCCATCCCAGGGCCGGGGCCCTACCGCCCTACCTCTCCCTACCAACCAGCCTCCTACCTGTCAACATGGTCCGGGACGAGCGACCGGTACGATGGCTGCAGGTCGACTGGACCGACGTGAAGGTCACGTGCTGCTGCAGGTCCGAGATCCCCTTCAATGGGACTCGGTTCTGAGTCGACTGGACCGACTGAGGGTCCAGCTGTTCAAGGTGTTCGTGAATTTGGGGAGACCTCCCAAAGCTGGAAGATGGAACCTAGACCAGTCAACCCGCTCCAGAGAACGGGGGTCTCCCCACGAAACATATGTCAACCCATATGCCAGGAGTCACAAGACGGGGTGGTGTTTAGTCCCCAAGTGAGTGGATGTTCTGGGCACCCCAGCCACCTCCATGGATCGCACCCCTAACCTCCATGACTGCTGGTGGATGTCCTTCGAACCTCCGTTCTCGAGCCACCTCGGTCGCTCCGACCGTCTCTACCGGGGGGGCTTGAAGGAGATCTTACCCGTTTCATCGTCGTCGAAGAGGCGGAAGGCCTTCAAAATCTCGTCCTGCGAAGCTGAGAGACAAACCCAAGGTAGTTGGGGGTGGTTGGGGGGGGTGGGGGGGGTGGGGGGGGGGCCTAAGCCAAGCCCCAACAAGGCCAGATTTGTCAGATCCTCTCCCCAAAGCCAAACATATGAACAAATGCCGTGTTCGATTTACATCGGTCTGATCGCCAATTGAGCTGTTCACGAGTTGCAGGAAAGGGACCCACGACTCGGCTCAGTCCCAAGAGTCGCTCAGTCCCACCGCGCCGACGAAACCGAGAGGTTTCAAGCCCAAGCGCCAGCCGTCCGTCGACCCACACGTGGTCCGAGGTCGATGCAGGCGATGCACCTTGCTAGTATAGTAGCTTCTTGGCTCCTAGTAGCAATGCCCGCCATCGAAACGGAGGGCATCGGGACGGATTCGCCCCGACGCCTTTGGGGAGTCGGGAGGAGTCGGGGCCTTTGGGTCGCGGTTCAGGATCTTGTGGGTCATCATCTTCAAGAACTCCTGGGAACCCGAAATGAGTCGAGAGGAGAGGAGAGGAGATAAACCCGAAATGCGGTGTGAAAAAAGGCCGCACAAGGCCGCAGACAAATGGTTTTGATCGAAATGCTTGGAACAAAAGAATACGGAGGTGGAAGCAAACAGGGAGGGCGCTCATGCAGGGGTCTTTTTCTGGTTTCTTTTCACATCGCTGGCCGGAGCCCGTCCGGCCTCATATCCGATGGTCCCTGAGCCATCATCATCCACATCGGAGATCATCTTCTGAATCTCCTGAGGTGACCCACACGCGATTCACCACGACGTGGGCGCTCTCCGATCTGCGATCTCCGATCACCGGGGTGGTCTGGGCTGACTGGTGAGGGTTGGGTGATGAAATGATGAAGCTGAGATGGCTATACGCATGGTTTGGGAATTTGGGGTGGCAGATTGACATATAGGTGTGCATCACAACATCTACAGAGGCGATCAAAAGTGGTGCCCGTTTCATTCGTGAATCTGGAGTTTGCCACAGTGATCGGCGCTCGGGCCGACGTTGAATTGCTCCGCAGAATGCACCACCACCTCTAACACGACTGCTCATCAACATACGCTCTCCTTTCATGTCTCGATTTGGCCTTGCATCCTCTATATCATTGTACTTGTGAGTTGCGGATTTGCATGCTTTTACTTATTAAGCATGTGACTAGTGGCTATGAAATGTCATGTATGGGATAGGCTCGCTATAGAACGCATTTTGAAGGAGGCCAACAGTTAATATGGAATGTATATAAATATACGCAATATATATTTATGTATATGTCCTCTTATCCGTTGAACAAGGCATCAAGAATGATGGTCACCTCTTCGCTACCCTGAAAAACCGAAGTTTAATCAATTTCATGCCTGGCGTGCCTAGTTACTCAGCTTGCCTGCTTGTTCCGCAGCCAGAGTCCAAGCCAGGCTTAGGCTTTGTGGGATGTTGGAGAAGACATTCGATGTAGTATACAAATGATGCGCGTTTTTGACGATTGGTTCCGGCAAAGGGCCATGGGAGGACCGTCCGTGCACTCCAGACACTGTCCGTGCAGTGTCTGGGAGAGACACGAGACTCGGACGTATGAGAGGTGAATCTCAAACCTTTGGCACTCTCCGAGAAACACTCGATACAGTAGCTGATGATTCACTTGGGCACGGGAGGATCTTGAAAAATATTGAAAAGCATTTGATGCCATTATTAGTAACAAGGATGCTACTAGTAGCTCCTGGCATTGCTACTAGTAGCAAGAAGCTACTAGTAGCAAGAAGCTACTAGTAGCAAGGTGCATCGCTACTAGTAACTAGTAGCGAGGACGCCACTAATAGGTGCTGCGAGTCATCACGCATCCTCCATCCGAGGAAGGATGTTGACTTTGGATGTCCAACCTTTGAACATGCATCCGCCTCTTTTTTTTGCGAAGACGCCGAGGATCAAGTGTGCCCTGGTCGGGACATCATGGCTGTTCAAGGTGCCCTCTTTGACTTCGAATTTCTGACTTTAAACTGTGCTGAGAGAAGGTTGGTGCACAACCCTCACAGCTGCATTTCACGGGTTACGTCGCGCCCAAGCCAGCTGTAGCAGTTTCGATGCTTGAAGAAACGGGTAGCTGGAGCAGGGCATGATCCAACTGAGTTAACAGCTGACAGTTTGAGGGTAATCCCCAAGAAACACAATGGCTTTCGGACGCGTTCCTGACTACTAGTGTACAACACTTGAGATGCTTGGAGGTAATCAATGTGCTGGAATTGCCTGTTGAACAAGGGGCTTCAATGTGCAGGACTTTATTGATCAAGCAATCTCAAAGGTGTTCTCATTGCGCCCTAATCATTGGACCGCGCAATGCTAGCAGGTGGTTGGAGGAAACTCTCAGTCTTGCGTAATTGTCAATGACCCTTGTGTAGAATCGAACACCAAGCATCCAACCACCAATGTTTGGCGAACCGCAGCACTAAGACTGTGCTGAAAAGAGGTGAGACAAACTACCACGAGTTGGCGGTTTTCGCAAGCTGCCAATGGCCAAGCATTCTTGGCTCAACTCATCTCCTCTGACTTCTCCGAGGACGGGCCAAAGATCACGGGTCGAAAGGATGGGTTGCGGATACGCTCCGTTTTTGGGCCAAAGCTCTTCGCATTGGCGTCGCGGCCTTGCACATGGGCCGCGCAAAGCTTCAAAGAGTACCCAGCCTGGTAGTGTTGTGCCAGACTGTCACAAAGTCCTTCATGCTTTGGATGTCCTTCAGGTTCAGAAAGGCGTAGCCCAAAGACTTGTGGTGACCGCCGGTGAAGTTCCCTGGCATGTAGAAGAAGTCGTAGTTCCCGCCAAAGCCCGTGTTGTCTATCTCATACATGACCTCTGGTTGGTGGAGGCTTGTTGGGAGATTCTTGATCATCAACGTGGTCACTCCATCCCTGGCCAGTTCCTCCGCCCACTGGCGGCTACTTGGATCGGCTGCCTCGCGCATGCACGCCAAATTCATCATATTCAATTTGTGCTTGAGCCGCCTTGCTACGGACATGTGCAACCGCTGGATGATCTTCTCTGGTAGCGGAGGTAACGGCTCCTCAAGTAGCACTATGCTCACGTCACCTTCTTCTGGCACCCATAGGCAAAAGGTGCTGGAGAAGATGTGGCAAAGATTGAGCAAAGCTTTGCAAGCAGGTTCTCCAACTCCTGCACCTCGCAAACATTCCGTGATGTTGCCGAGGGTGGCCGGCACTCGACTGTGGACCAAATTCTTGATGACCTCCGTGACCTCGGATGTGCTGAAGGACTGGGGAAAAAAAAGCAAACAAACAAACCTCCCGGACAAACAAACAAACCTCCCGGATTCATATAGCATTCGTTTTTGCCAAGGAAAATCAAGCTTCCCAAAAAATGATAAGCAAAACCAGGTCACGCGCAGCTGCAAGATTGCCAACTGCGAAGCAGTGACTCCTTTCGGCAAAGGCTTCATCTTGAGCAAGGCACCGATGCACTGCCCACGCTGAAGCTCTGGCCCAACGGGCGACCGGCGGCCTGATGGGTTGCAAACCAAATGCTCCAGCTGGAGTGAAGGCTTTGGAAGGGCATTCTGTGGAGCTGGGACAGGTTGTGCACCTGGCATGGGAAAAGATGGAGCTGGACTCTCTTGACTCGAGGTCACGTGATCAAACAGCTTCAGCACACTGGCGTGAAGATAGTGAAGATTCTCAGGAAGCTGAGGCTCCATGGAGCCAGTTTCCTCTGGCATCTCGGGTGGCATGTGACTGTCTGGATGGCCCAGCTGCTGGAGCCTCTTGGCAAATTGGCAAATTTGAGACAAGAGTTGCGGGTCGCGATTGACCTTCTCCAGCTCTTCATCCCCGGGTGGGGTATTCACAGGTCCTGGTGCCCTGGTGGGCGTCTGTGATTTGGCTAGGTCATCAAGCTCACCGTCCTCCTCAGAGTCCATGTCCATGTCATTGCCCTGAAGAAACATGGCCACCGCGTGGGTCACGTCACGCTCAAAGTCCTCGTCCACCTCCTCACACTTCAGTTCCTTCCACGAAGTTGGTTGTGACGGCCCGAGCTCAGCTTGCCCTTTGGGGGTCAAGTGTGCCAAGCTAGGATCGCACCAGTTGGTGCCTTCACCCTGCCAGCTTCTCTGTCCGAAGCTAAGGTTTGACTCCGACATTGGAACTGATTCCCCCATCATTCCACAACCCTGGAAGCCCTGGAGTTGCTGAAAGGCGTGCTGTGCATTGTCCATCGGGTAGCTTGCCACATGCATCGTAGGTTGAGCCTCTTGATAAGCAGGGCCTACACAACTACCGTGACAGGGTTGCTGCTGCTGTGGGTGGTACATGTCTACCGAGCAGGCTCCATTGCCTCCCCACTGCGGAAGCCTTCCGTTCCATCCATTCTGTGGAAGGTGCTGCAAATGACACGCGAGGAACATGTTGCAATTCGGTGTCTTCGACTAGAATCGTTCCACGTGGGACCCGTCCAGCTTGAGCCAAGGTGGTCTGTGAGACGGCCATCTGCAAGGTTGGAACGGTCACCGTTGGACTGCCTGTGCACGTTGGACTCCGTAAGAAAACACAGAGTCAGTTGCCAATACTAGAGATTGAGCAGTGATGGTCTTTTGGCACTTCTCAAGCACGTAAGTTGGAGCAGCCCAGCTACTTACGGCAGTCTCAAGTGCCAAGAGACCGGTAGTGCAAGGGGTACCTACCAGCGACCCTCGGATCAGGGCTCTCACTGTCTCTACCGTCCTCCTTCTTTGGCTCAAAGCCCAGCGCACGCATGGCGACCTGAAAACGCCCAGCAAAGGCAGAAAAGAGACCGCCGAAGTCACCGAAGAAAATAACCACACTGGACCGTGAACCACCAGGATTTCATCCGAAGGACCTTTCCTTAGAAGTCCTCACGTGGTGCAAGGCGAGACTGCAAGTCGGACGGTGGAATGGGGATCCCCGGTCAAGGCCTCTTTTTGCTCAAGAGAGGCACGGACCCCCAAATAGATACAAAAGTAGATCCCCACTAGAAATGTATTGGAAAGTGTTTTTATCTACTGACTGTGGGACCACTATATACACTTATCACTTATCTTGGAAACCTGATGAGTGTGGTCCATGGACCACACTGACAGCTGTCTCCTGACCGACGATCAGCCGCTTCCGCCTCCTGTGAGCGTCACCTAGATGAAGACAACCCTACACTGCAATCATAATTAGGCACTTGTAGGTGGAGGTTTCCATTGGACTTGCTTGGAAGCGTGGGAAGGCCGCGGCCGTTTGGCACTCTGAGTCATTTGGAAGTAGAGTGAAACTAGCTCTATGTAGAGAAAAACGCTCTTCCAAGGGGGCCACTTACTTCTGTCCATGATACCCCATGGGCCATGAAGTCCATCCGGTCGCATCGTCCATTCACTTCCATGACGATGACGGACGCCGTCGGTCGCGTGTCGGGCGAGTGTCGGTCGCCACGTCGCCACGTCGCCACGTCGGTCCCTCACCTTCAGCTCCTTCGAGTCGATCTCTCCCGAGCCGTCCGTGTCGAAGAGGTCGAAGGCCTCGGCGACCGACTGCCCCGGGAGGGTTCCGATACCAAAAAAAAGAAAGCGGTCGGCGACCGACGGTGAGTCCGCTCCAGTCCATCTCTGCCATCTCTGCCATCTCTTCAGCCCCAAAGATCCCCCTTCCAAAGAAGATGAAGGTCCAAAACTTGGGTTCTTGCTTCTAATATCTTCTAATGACTTCTTGTTTCTACTAGTAAGGCACTTGTTACTAGAAGCGATGCACTTGTTCCTAGTAGCTTCTTGTTTCTACTAGCTTTGTGAGGAGGTGTCCAGATCTCTTGGCACGCCTCCTTGATCTCCTGCTTCTGCTCCTCGGACCGTCAACGACCGTCGAGTGGCGGTTTGGCGAAGCAACCACGCGTACCTGGCGCGTCCTGGCGCCCCTGGGGCCCTGGTGCTGAAGAAAGGTGGAATGAAGTAGGCCGTGCTCAGCCAAAAGAGGGATGTGACACCAAGACGGAAACACCTATTGGACCATATTGGACCTACAGCGTTCATGGTCATCCTTGAAGAGCACCAGAGGTTATGTATTCATGCCCCCATCACGCCAACTGTGAGCCAGTGCGCTCCCCCCCTTTTCTGTCCTCAGTGAGCTCCTTCTGCTTCTTTCCACCCGCATTGAACCGGCGCAGAGCCATCAGGACAAGAGCGGGGTCTCGTCGGCAGAGGCGGCTCGGGCCAGAAGTCTCTCCGTCCGCCGCGGTGTCGCGCTCGGCGTTCAGCCGTTCGGCGGAACTTCCACCGCGCCGTTTCACGGCGCGGTGGAAGTTAGGCATGCATTCTCAGTGGCGAAGCGATCTGAACATGCTCAACTCCCGAGAAAAAGAGGTCAAAAAAAAAGGGAAAACACCCACGACATGTCCCAAGTCCCGCTCCGAAGACTCGACGTCTCCCGCGACGCGTGGGACCCCGAAGACGTCTTCAGTCCCCGGGCTCCGGTCCCGGTGTGCCTTACACGCCAGGTGCAGCGGGGTCCACCCCGTGTCCGTCACGGAGTCCAAGGCGCTCCGCCCGTGCCCTGAGAGGCCGGAGAGGAGGGGCTGAGGGGAGATCGGAGGGGAGGGGGAGGGGTTTGCAGCGGGGGGGGCATCGGTCACGGTGCCCCAAATGGAGAGCAAACCTGTCGTTCATTCATTCGCAACGTTGCCTCCTTGCCATTCCTTTCCTTCGGGAGCGGGCGGAAGCTCTGGAGCCCTTGGGGAGCAAGTCCTAAGCCCTTATGTCCCGGTGCAGTTTTGGGCCCCCCCGGGGATTTCCAAGCCCATGATAGACTCCAGAAGGTTACCTGGGTGAAAATAACTGTATATAGAGCTTCTGAGCAAGCTCAGTTAGGAGTATTTCCCACTAAGCTTACGTCTGGCTCTTTTTGGAAGGTGTGTCCTTATCAATTTCTACTGAACTTGAGTGGTCAGATTAGGGCTCCAATGATTGAAATGTTCAGAACAAAGGCACGAATCGAACAAAACACTGCTGGAGGCCACTCGAAATGGCTGCTCGAGCCGCCCAAGATCGCCAAACCGACCTTTTTCCGTGGCTTTGGATGCAGATGGCACCAGCCTTCGGCCTTTACAAGGCGGGCACCCGTGCGAATTCATGCATGAATCTGTTTGAGTGGACCCATGAGAGACCCAAAACGACTAAACGACCCACTTTCTCCAAGCCCCATTCTGGGGTCGTTTGAGTGTGGGAGAGTGCATGTTTCGAGCGTGGCATGTGCACGCGCGAATTTGTGCCGCGTTGCTTTGGCCAACGCAATGGGGATTTGTCTGTCACCATCTGTCAGCCATCTATCTCATAAACGCCATGTGAGGAGATTGGTTGATAGGCTTTGGTGGTAAGAATGTGCTGGTTGTCGGTCAGATTTACCTGCATGGGGCACTTGAGTGTGGAGGATAATGCACAACTTTGGATCGGCCTATCTTTCCTTAAGCACCAAAAAGGTTGCCAGTTTGACTCTTTGACTGGACACTTTCCAATCTAGACTCTAGACCTTGCGTTACTCTATGTGCTGAACTTGCCGGTCACTCGTCCCAAACAAAGAAAACCACCGCTTCCACCGATCCACCTCCTGTACAGGTCGTGCGACCGCCTCGAGCAATGCAGAGTTCTATGCATCACCAGCCTTTCTAACTGGCGAAGAGTTCAGGGATGTGAAGTCGGTGGTCCAAGATCACCTTTTAAAATTCAAAAAAATCACCTGGGCAGTTCACTGGGCGCTTCTGGCACAGCGGCGCCCAGTAGGACAGCCTGCAGGGCTGTCCAGGGGGGGCGCAGAGTCGCAACCGAAGATGGGCTCTGCAGAATTCGATTTCCTGCAAGGCAGCTCCTGCACAACTGAAAAGACCTGCTCCTCCTCGGTTCAGAGTCTTGCATTCTTACCTGAGCTCCGGAACCGCATGTTGACAGATGTGTTGGGCACAGCGTCAAAAACTGAGCGGAAGAGAAGCGTTTAGAGGTTAAACAGTGTGTATATATGCACATGCGCGTGCTCTTTTTGGATGAGATGACGCGAGATGTAGAGACGTAGTCTGTGGCACTTCCTCCGTCGCCCACCTGTCAAAGGTGGATCTCTTCAATCGACTCTTGCAACACCGCGCGGCCCGGCCGACGACTGGAGCTCGTAGCGATGCTGCTTCTTCGCCCGCGAGGTCTCCAGCAACCTCCGTCGACGTCCCGAGCTTCAATTTGGACAACATCTCCCACTCAAGGTGGATGCTCAAAACGATGAGAGTGGATTGAGAGCAAATGGCACGTTGAGAGCCCCCAGGCGGTTTAGTTTGTTGTGTAGCCCCATCTAAATATCTGAAAGACATCTTGGGGTGCCAGTGCTATCTACTCTTGAAACCGCTGCAACTAGACTGGCATAGCAGCTCATGAAGAACGAAAGCGGGCCTACCCAAGCGATGCTTGACCTCATGACCGGCTCTAAAAAGTCTCCTTCAGGCGAATCTCTCGTTCCAAAAGGTCACTTTTAGGGAGCTCATCGCGTCAAGGGCAGAACCATCCTGGTTCAGGGTGCCTTGTTGATCAACCGGCGGAATCGACCTACTCCCATCCCCAAGACGTCCAATGACCGAAGTAGACCGAAGTCATATCCACCACTGTCCTATCCCCTGCGTATTATTCCCTAGGGCTCCTGGCCCACCTCCTGAGAAGATGGTTGGGGTGGGTTTGGGGGGGTCTAACCACCTTCTGAGGAGATGGTTGGAGCCCTAGGGTATTATCCAATCAGTGCAACCAAAAACCGTTCCAAATCTACCAAGCCACTGTCGAAATGTCTGCTCCACGACTGTTCCAATCCACGTGATCATGACATCCGTCACGTGAGAATCCACGTATTGGAAGCCCACCGTCTCCTGAAAAAAAAAAGAAAAACGAAAACCTGCTTGCCCGGGTGCTAAGAACAAGAAGTCCTTTTGGCGACCCGGAGCAAAACCCGGGCGTGTTTGTCCACCTTTTCTCAGGCGAATTCTTGCGAAGGGAGCTTGACCTGGGACCCACCATCAATCTACTGTAGATCTATTCAGTCTGGCTCTCGCCCTCCTCCCACCTGGTGGGAGGAGCGTTCTCTCGACCCGTTTCCCCGCAGGTGACTCTGAGTGGGAGTGCACGAACTTCTACAAGCTTGGCTAGAAAAAAGGGCGGTCAAACCGAGCCTCGCTGTTGAATGCGGCAGATGGCTCTCAGGGCGACGCTCAGGCGCCCGGCCAGCAACAGCTAGTAACATGACTGACCTCCAAGGGCCATCCTCTCCTCTAAGAGGCACTAGCAACAACTAGAGGCACCCTGCTCGCCCTGCTACTGTTGGACACATGCGGTCTGGCTCAAATGAGGCGCTCACCGGCAGCAACAACAACAAGCTGTTCGTCTGTGCTCGGGTCCGAACAACGGTCTGACGATCGCAGTCTCTTCGTGTGGGGGCCATCGGAACGGGATGCACTCTCTAAAATCTCTAAGAGGGCTCACGAAGAAACATGAAAAAAATCGAGGGATCCGTACCGAACCTCAGGTTCAGTGCGACCGGACCCTCCAAACCAGCTACACTGTTAGTGTCTTCTCACATCACCGTAAACCTGAGGTTCGGTACGACAACGGATCCCTAGAATTATGGCGTGTACCGTGGTCCATTTTCTCGACTCGCTTTACACAAGTTGGGGGGGACATCGGGGACCTGCCGTCACACTCTGATCCGTGGCATAGACAGACATGCAGCTAGTCTCCATGTTTGAATATGATAGTAATATGAAGCGATATGATGTGGTAAGATGTCCCTTCACAGCCTTATATAACCTCTGGGGGGGAAAGTATTGACTCCTCAACGTGCCGAATATGTCTTCAAGCGGTTTTGTCCCGACTCCACGTGAGGCATTGAGCTCCTCGATCATCGATTTCCTTAACTTGTGGCGCAAATGGCTCAGCACCAGGGGAGGGAAAAAAAGAAAAGTAGAGAATTCACACTGCAAGACCACAAATCCGCACAATGCAAGTGTCACTTTGCGTTCATCCTCCACCGCCTACGCTTTGGCTTGCTTCGAATCCACCTGACTGAGGGATTCGATCACTTCGTCGATGCCTTCGGAGCCCGAGGCGATGTGCTGTCGCAAGCGCAATGCGGCAGCCTTCGGCATGATGAATTGCACCTGATGAGGTGGGTGCAGAATCATGGGACTGTGTGTTGCGGTTCTGGAAGAAGTCAGGAAATGCTGCCGATGAAAACAAGCGAAACTGACTGAGGCAATACTCCAGCCCAATGAAAACGAGAAAAGCTTGCTGATTTCCTGAGGCCCCGGCCTCAACTTGAATTGTGGAGGCCACATACTGCTCGTAAACGGTCCACACTCGAGATAAATACACAGGCTGGTCCCATGTATCTAAAATGGCGACCATCTTGCCGATCCGCTTGAGGTTGCTTTCAAACACATCTTCCAGATTGTCGCTCCCACTGCTAGTCTGTTGAACTATGATTCGGAACTGGTTGTTCACAAAGAAGCACATGTAGAAGTAGCAATGAAAACCAGCAGTTCTGTTGTGGAACATGTCCAAGGCGCATCGAACCTGCAGCAAGCACTTTAAGCGAAGGGTCCAAAAAATGTAGCCAAGGGATTGTATCACATGCTTTGACGCTCAATCCAGCACAATCGCAGAGATTTTCCGCTAAAGCTGCCCCTACCCCCCAAACAAGTTAGTGCCAAAAGTCAAATAACGCTGGACCAAACTCTCCCCATTCGCTGCCCCACTTCCACCTGCTGCAGGCTGTATTGCCAGGTCCAGCTCAAATAGTGCGTCTGTTCGCGGCGCTCATCAACCGGCATCCAATCCACCAGAGCGCAACCCGCTTGGCCGTCGCGAGGGCAAATGATGTCTTGGCCGATGGGGTCCTTTGACAGCCAGAAGGCGCTCTTCATGTCCTGAGCTGTGGCAGGAGTGTTCAACAACGGTGGCTCCACAAGCCACAACGCAAAGGCCCAGGCTGTGAATCGCACACTCGGCTGTGTCTCTCCGGGAAGAAAGAACCCAGGCATCAACGGCGCCCCATCTCCACCCGTCCCATCCAGCGATGGAAGGGGGCGTTTTCTTTCAGAACCTGTGCGGGGACAGGAAGATTTGATTTGGACTTGTTGCGGTGCTTATGTGCAATGATTTGCTGATGCGTCAGCTTCGTTGCACCCTCCCTGAAACAATCATGAGTAAGTGAAAAATGGCCGCTGGGAAGACCATGATGATATCTTGATATCCTCTACATGGCCGCTGGGGTGAACGTTCACTTCCATATGATGTGTTCTGTTTTTTGTTGTGTTATGTCTTCTCCGGCTTTTTCCGGTTGTTCATGTCGGTGAAGTATGTAGGTGAAGAAATGCGACTCTTCATGTGGTGTGGCCGCTGTGGCCGGTGTGGCCCAACAACAAGCCCAACAAAAGGTACGACGACCGTCGGAACCTAGGTGAGGACGACCGTCGGTCTATCTCGACGTGTAACCTGCCCTTCCCATTCCTTTTCACTGTGGAGATTTCCATTAAGGCTCTAAAAGTTTCTCTGGTCTAGGCATCTCTACTCTTTTACCCCGAAATAGCTGGATGCTACTTCTGAAAGCAAACCTCTCTCGCACCTGTTCTGTTTGCGTCTTATCACTTGAAGCCAAGAAAAGCCATTCCCCTCACCCATCCTCACCTTGCTTCTCTGGCCGCCAAAGGGTTCTTTACATACTAACAGGCGACTTAATGGTGTCTAGCCCCCAAAAACCAGGCTATGGTATCAAGGCTCTGGATGATTACCAGCAACAGTGGATGATGATGGTTAGTAGAGGCCTTAATAGGACAGGTAATAGGACAGACCCCATCTATACTCTATAGGGCCGCGGGCTGATACTGATACACTCCCGAGTCAACTCACATAGACCCTGACTGTCTGGCCTTCCAGAGTGGTTTTCTCTACCAACCAGTCTCCAGGGTGTGGATACGGGCAACTAGTGGGGGACCCCTATCGACCCCTAGTAGTTGAGGGTATGATAAATGATAAAGGTTGACCATCTTTGCGACCACCAAACACGACAACTGAGTATCCATAAAGGTGGGGTCATCTCTGCCGGTGCGTTGCATGGCCAGTTGGGCAAAATCAGCTGAAAGGAGGTACCTCAGACTCACCTGAGCACGAGACAGCAATTCAGGAGAATATGCATTCTGAACCATGAAAGAAACACAGAAGGTAGCTTCTCACTTTCATGCCAAGGCAGAGCTATGTTACAGTAAATTGCCACGACCCTCCACTTCAATAGCTGCTGCCCAGGAACACCGGCTCTTTTACTCTGCAGGGCACGCATGTCTGCAAGATGTTGCTCCAACTCCGTCGCCAATAGCCCAAGACGACTCAACTTCTTGGAGTACGTGGACATGATCTGCGGCCGCTCATCCTCGCTCACAAAACTCGATTTCACTTGCTGTGACATGCTCGACGTCGCCTACCGGATCTCAATGTCAAGCTCCTTCGAATCAACATCTCAAGCAGTGGAAGGTGCATTGATACACATCAACCCAACACGTCACCTGAGGAGCTGCCTTCAGCTTCGACATCTGAGGACGTGTGTTCCAAGAAAGACGTTCCTTCGACATTGACACTAAAGCCATGCAGGTTTTATCAAATCATGTACAGTATACCAGGACCTCTAAGAGGCTATTTATAGACACCTGCGACACCTCTTGGAAGGTCCTGGTATATACTGTAATCGTGTTAGGATCTCTTAGCAGGTGAATCTGACCGATCCTCAACGCTGAACTGCTCCAAGCATCCCACAGGTGCTCATAGACTTCCTCCAGGACACGTTCAATTCTTTGAGCTCGTCGAGCACGGAGCACCGACCAGAGTAAGCGAGCGGCCACCACAAAGCCTCCCAAGCCAAGTGCCAAAAGTGGCAAGTGCCACCACACCTCACCGGAGACGCGGAGTGGTCTCGCGGGCCACGTCTCGTTCCGAGCGGGAAGAAGTGGTAGATCAAGTTGGCCATGGGAAAGGTGGGGTAGAACGGGACTCTATCTCCCTGGGTCCAACTTTGGGCAAACAAAACTTCGAAAATGGGCAAGTGGCCAAACTTGAGAAAAGAAATGAATTGGAACAAGATGGAACAGCCATTTGTTTCTGGTGGTTTGGCCACGAAAGATAGATGTGCCTCAAAGCTGATCGATCTGCTGTCTTAGCTTGCTAGCTTCCTACCTGGCACCTAGCCGGTGAGTGCATCACCAAAACCTCGAGCTAAGCCCTGGCCCTGAACAGAAGTCATCTGCCCAGTGTCTCTGGTCGCATTAGCCCAGACACGCAGTGGTTGTCCACCAACGCCAACGGGAAGCTGCAGGCCACGCACTGGTCGACACCGCTCGTGGAATAGTGGAACATGGGACAGTCTTCACATGTGCCGCGGTCTTCAGATGGAATTGAACCTGGCATGGTGGCCATGGATCAGGTGATACCAGGTGGCAACCCGGTGGTTCAATCATGTTCCAATGCCAAGGACTCAAGACAAGCTCGAAGACCACATACAGATCTTACAGGCCCGCCTGGAGGGCATGCTTGGCAAAAGCCCTGGACTCCATAAAGCCCCGGTCCACAAGGATCGCACTTGAGGTGATTCTGGTCAGGTCCCCGGCCGGCTGAGCAGGGTGGCGCCATCCTTGCATCAAACATCTGATCATGGCCTCGGCTGTTGGCGGTCAAATGAAGTCTCAGCATCACATCTCTGCTAGCTCAGTTGGATTCACTTGCTTTTAGATCGAACAGTTCGTGCTTCAGGGCTGGGCATGAGCGAGGTTCCAACCACAAGCTTTCAAGCTACAAACTTGACTGGGCCGGGGTGCTGTTCAGAGAGGAAATGTTCCATGAACCGATCGATGTGTCAAAGGCCGCTGCCGCATAGAACATCCAATCCATGCTTTGCACCGCGCACGTATCCCAAGAGCCAATGAGCTGGTTGAACACAGAGGCTCCGTGGAACATGTGACTCAT